ACACTTGGTTGACCACCTTGGTCGCCTGGACGTCGTCCTTGCACCTCGGCCGGTTGAGGACGGATTGTATCGCTCGCTTGCGCACGCAGTCCTGGAACTGCTGCGACAAACTCCAGTTCCCTCTTGTGAACGCCTCTCTGGTCCATCTGCACTCGCCGCTCAGCGCAGAAGCACGAATCTGTCCAAGTCAGTCTCTCCCTCCACCAAGTTTTAGGTAGGCCACTCACCTCAGTACACGCCGCATGCTTCAAGTCCAAATCGCCCATCCAATCCACGTTCCACCTAAGATGGTCCCACGCATGCACCATCTCGTGCGAGAGCGTATCCTCCAGATGCTTCCGGTCCCTCACCTCGTTCGCGCAAATCAAGATGCCGTGGGCGGGGCTGAAGCCGCCCGACTGGCGGTGCACCTGGCCGTCCTCGGTGAGGCGCGCGGGGCACCGCCTGCAGAGGATGTTGGAGCTGTCGAGCTCGCCGTTGAGGGCGGCGATCTTGTCGTTGAGGAAGCGGACGGTCGGGGAGAAGGCGAGCAGCCAGTCGCGGTGCTCCTCGCAGCGCTTGCAGTCGCGCTCCTCGTTGGCGCGATAACGGTGCTCGCGGTAGTGGAACTGGCCCTCGGGGGTCATGCGGCCGGTGAGGACGTTGAAGTAGTTCATCCACCACTTGGTCTGCGGGTCGAAGCCGGTGCGGGCGGGATCGTTGCGCAGTTCGCGAGGGAGTCCTTCGGCTGGTGGCGCTGTTGCTGGTGGCGTTTGCGTCTGGGAGGGGGCTTCGGAAGCCATTGTGGGCGATTGTTGCTGCGGCTATTGAGGAGTGGGAGGGGGCTTTCGACGAGGTTGCAGGCGAGGTACGGTCTTTCGGCGCGGGTTGGAGACGTTGGTTGATGATGGCTGAGGTAAGGATGGGGTAGGTTGATTGGAGGTTGGACGGAAATTTTGGCTGTTATCGATAACGAGTCTAGGTGCATCTTGCATGTGGTGACAACGCCTAATATAGTGGACCGACTCAGTTGTCGTAGATTTGAGCATTCCAGCACACTGTGACTTTTCAATAGCCTTGAATTGTTCATGTAAGCCACAGCCAAACATGGGGCGTGGGTATGGATTCTGATACTGGCCATCTTGGAAATATTATTCTTAGTCCGACTTGCCCAGTAGAGTAAACATCTTATTTGGAGATGATGTAGGGGACCAGGCAATGGAGTGTGAGATAGGTGGGCGGATCTTAAACAACATCCGTCCCTTGTGTAATCGGCACCTATTCAGCTATGAGTAGAAGTTAGAGACTAGAATCTCTATCGTCGTCTTCTATCGTCGTCTTTGACAGTCTCGAGTCCCACAACCTTCTGGGCTTTTTCGCTGAAGTCCACTACCAGTTTGTGGCTTGCGATCTTGGTGTATGAAGTGCCTCTCAACTACCTAGGTACAGTAATACAGGTCAGATACGAGAAGGCGCGCCCTACCGGAAGACACTGCAGCTTCCAATGCACATTCAAGCGGTCAAACGCCCAATTACCCGATTCATGATCTCATTCTTCCCAGAACCCAACAGGGGTCAAGAAAAGGCGGCATGCCAACGCTCTGCTGAAGATGCCGCTAGCCCCGGGTTTTAGTGGCATTACCCGCCATCTCATAGGCCCGCGCAGCCTACCGAACCACCCCCGTGTTCCCGTCCTTGCACCGGTCGATCCCGACATCGGGGCCATGCAGGGTAATTTTTTTTTTTTCTCTCTTGCCAACCCGCACGGCAGTCAGAGTCATTCCCGCGACGACAAAGGGCGCGACCAGGGGCCTTGGACAATGTTCCCATCGTCCCACAATAACTCGACACCGGCTGGTTTGGCATTGGCAATGGCGGAAGAGAGTGGTCCAACATGTAAGAGGATCCAGTATTTTTCCTAAATACGTAATGTTGCCCAATTCGCTGGTTTAATCCTTGGGCTCATTGTTCTTTTGGCTTTAAATCTGCATGTTTACTGCTCGTCGTTGTTGTTCATTTGGAAGAGCGTGTGTGACTAACTCTGAATCCCCTCGTTCGCAGATATGAAGCACCGTGAGGGCTCAAAACCTCTGACGGTGGTGCTCAAGCTGGGTGAGGCCCCTCCCCCTCATCGTGTCTCATGGCCCGATCTAACTCAATCTCACAGGCACCAGCTCAATTGTTGATGAAAACACTCGGCAGCCCCTGCTGTCGATTCTCAGTCTCATTGTCGAGACGGCAGTCAAGTTGAGAAAGGATGGCCATAGGGTAGTCATCGTCTCATCCGGCGCCATCGGCGTCGGTCTCCTCCGCATGGAGATGGAGAAACGCCCGAAACATCTGTCAACGCTACAGGTCCGCTCATCTCTGAGCCAGAGCATCTGACATTAGACTGACGGATTATATAGGCGTTGGCTGCCATCGGACAGTGCAGACTCATCAGTCTATGGGACGACCTGTTTGGGCACTTCAGGCAACCGGTTGCTCAGATTCTTCTCACTCGCAGCGACATTGCCGATGTAAGTGAGCATCACGCCGTCTAGTGGACATCGATTCTGACAAGATGGCAGCGGACACGATATCTCAACGCTCAAAACACATTCAATGAGCTCCTGGACCTTGGCGTCATTCCAATTGTCAACGAAAACGACACCCTCGCAGTATCAGAAATCAAGTTCGGCGACAACGATACCCTCTCTGCCATCACCGCAGGCATGGTCCACGCAGACATGCTCTTCCTCATGACCGACGTCGACTGTCTCTACGACAAGAACCCCAGGACACACCCCGACGCCCAGGCCATCGAGGTTGTCGAGGACATTTCCAGTATTCAAGCAGATGGTACACTCAACCCCTTCCGCTCCTCACTCTCAGAACTAACAGCTCCCTTCAGTCTCAACAGCAGGCTCCGCCCTCGGCACCGGCGGCATGATGACCAAGATCGTCGCCGCCCGTCTCGCGACCTCCGTCGGCGTCACAACCGTGATCACACGCTCTTCCAACCCGGGCAACATCGTTAAGATCGTCCGCTATATTCAAGCCCAACAGAGATCCTCCCCGCGCCTGGACCCGGCCTCCGACGGCGAGCACGACGGCCACCACGCCGACGACCCCCTGTCTCAGTCCACCGCCTCCCTCCGCCTCGACCAGTCCGTCGAGAAGCCCCCGCTGCACACCCGCTTCCTCCCCTCGCCGGACCCCATCCGCGACCGCCACTTCTGGATGATCCACGGCCTCAAGCCCCATGGCACGCTCTACATCGACGCCGGCGCGCATAGCGCCCTACTCAGGAAGGCTGGCCTGCTGCCCGCGGGCGTGCTGGACGTCGAGGGCAACTTCGCCCAGCACGAGGCCGTGAGGCTTGTCGTCGTGGAGCGGCTGCACACCCCGGACGCGAGCGGCAAGACGTGGACCGGCACGCCGCTTGAGGTCGGCCGCGCGCTGGTCAACTATGCCGCGCCGGAGGTGATGCGCATCCGCGGCCACCAGAGCTCTGAAATTGGCGGGCTGCTCGGGTACGCTGACAGCGAGTACGTGGCGGAGAGACAGCACATCCGCATCTGGAGTGGAGAGAGCCGGCCGCAGACGCCTAGCTTGGAGAAGCAGGTCAAGGAGCAGGTCAAGGAGCAGGTCAAGGAGCAGATTGTCGAGGAAGTCATCGCGGGGGTCGCTGGTTACGAGGGAAAGGCATGATTATAGAGAGCTTTGAACAGGTTTGGCATACGGAACGGGAACACTGCATGATGGGAGAGGAAAAGGCAAATGTCATGATTTGAGGAGCGATCCGCCACCATTTCAGCATTATGGGGGTGTCAGTATTAGACTTGCTGTTATGACGAGAAGAAGAAAAGTATATGACCAACAACAAAACGCCGTCAAGATGCCCCCCTCCTTGTCTTCTACTCTTTTTTGTTTGAAACCAAGAAACGCCAGCCCGTATACACACGCATAGTTGTCCACCAATGGGTATTCTAGACCTCTCCCAAGCTTTTTAACCAGTCGCAAAGAGGGTATCTTCGTCACGCAGGTACTCGCCGGCGTCAGATTGCCTGAAGCATACGACACCGGTGGGATCGAGACGGCGCGCCTCGGCGGTGGAGCGGGCGGTGACGCCGAAACCGAGGGGCTTATCGTCCATGGAGTAAACGATGACGCCCTGGTGCTCGGGGCAGTCGTCGGACCAGCGGCCGACGTGGGCCTTGACGATGTTGCCGCCGTAGAGGAAGGGCATCTCTCCGTTAGGCTGTGTTGCGCCGAGAGTTAGCGGCTCCGTTACCAAGTGCGCTGAGGGTGCGTTCCGACATACCTTGACCCAGATCTTGTATCTCGCGTGCTCGCTCAGAATGGGGAGCGCCGTGACGTGCAGACGGAACTTGCCCGTCTTGGTGAACTTGCCTACACGATCGTCCGGTTAGCAAAATCGCTGGGCCTGGATGAACGGTCGCAAAACGCACCGAGGCAGATGCCGATGCTTAGAAGCTTGTCGCGGGCGATGCTGGTCGCGAGGTTGGCGACGGACAGGCGCACGTAGTAGACGCGGTCCTTGATCATGCGGAATACATAGCGGTCTGCGTCGGGGGAGTTGTCGAGAGGGGCGATGAGGTTCTTGAGGGAGCTGCCCATGTAGCTGGCCAGCTTGTTGAAGAGAGTCTGCGTCTCTTGTTCCGTGAGGGGACGCATCTTGGCGGGTTTTCCGTTTCGTCGACTCTCGGAGTGTTTCGTGAGGGAAAAACGAGGAATTCTTTCAGAGATGTCAAGTCCGTTCCGAGAGTGGGATGTATCGCGATGCCAAAGGTTGGAGTAGCGGCAGAAACCCAAAAAATTTCGGGCGGTCAAAGAGGCTACCGGGGGGTTGATTGGCCCAATTGGTCAACGCTCCACTAAAAAGTTCTCGACAGTCCCTCTTCTGCTGCAATGTTCCAGGGTCCCATCCAATCCACCTCAGCATCGAGAAATCTCGAGCAGAACCAGACATTGACGGACAAGGCTTCTCCCCCCCCTCCAACACCCGCCCGTCAACAATGTCGTCCTCCAGAGCCCCCAAACGCCGCAGGCTCACGCCACCCCCCGAAGACGACGAACCGAAATCCCGCTCCTCCAAGAAGATCCAGAAGCAGTTCTTCAAGAGCGCCGCCGGATGGGACCTGGAGCAGGACTACGAGAACCGCAAGCATAAGAAGGGCAAGAAGGACAAGAAGGAGAGCAACCGCCTACCCATCAAGACCGCCGACGGCCGCATCGAGCAATTTCGCGCGCTCGAGGGCGACAACGACGATGCCGCTTCCGTAGAGAGCGACGGTGATTGGCTCGAGGGTAAAGAGGACGAGGATGCCATCGCCGAGGCCGAGGCCGAGAGGCTGCGCCAGACCAGAAGGAAAGAAGAGGAGGAGTCAGACTTGCCGGAGCACGTCCAGATTCTCCAGGCCAAGGAGGAGCTCGCCAAGATTGCGACGGCGTTGAACGAGGACCCGGAAGAGAATGTCAGCGCCTTCAAGGCCCTGGCCAAGATCGGCCAGTCGCGCATCCCGACCATCCAGAAGATCACCCTGGCCACCCAGCTCGCCGTCTACAAGGACGTCATCCCGGGCTACCGCATCCGCCCCGTCGCCGAGGACGCCCCGGCCGAGAAGTTGTCCAAGGAGGTCCGCAAGCTGCGCGCCTTCGAACAGGCACTCGTCTCGGGCTACCAGGGCTACGTGAAGGAGCTCGCGAAATGGGCCAAGCTCGACATCCCCGCCACCCGCAAGAACGGGCAGAGCATCTCGAGCGTCGCCATCGCCTGCGCGTGCACGCTCATCAACGCCGTGCCGCACTTCAACTTCCGCACCGACCTGCTCAAGATTCTCGTCGGCAAGCTCTCGAAGCGCAAGGTCGACGCCGACTTTGTCAAGTGCCGCCGCGCCATCGAGACGCTCTTCAAGGAGGACGAGGAGGGCCGCCCCGCCATGGAGGCCGTCGCACTGCTCGCCAAGATGATGAAGGCGCGCGAGTTCGCTGTCGACGAGACCGTGGTCAACCTGTTCCTGCACCTGCGTCTGCTGGACGAATTCGCGGGCAAGGGCTCGCAGGACCGCGTGGACCACGAAAAGGACCCCGGCGCGCCGCCGCCGCGCAAGGCCTTCAAGAAGGAGTTCCGCACCAAGAAGCAGCGCAAGCAGATCAAGGAGCAGAAGCAGATCGAGAAGGACATGCAGCAGGCCGATGCCTTGGTTAGCCACGAGGAGCGTGACCGCATGCAGTCCGAGACGCTGAAGCTCGTTTTTGTGACGTATTTCCGCATACTCAAGTTGCGTGTGCCGCACCTGATGGGTGCTGTGCTCGAGGGTCTGGCGAAGTACGCCCACCTGATCAACCAGGATTTCTTTGGCGATCTCCTGGAAGCCTTGAAGGACCTCATCCGCCATGCCCAAGAAGATGCCGAGGGCGATGCGGAACCAAGCGCCGAAGAAGCTCCCGCCGCAGAGGAGGAAGATGACGACGATGCCGTGGCGCGAAACACCACCCGTGAAGCTCTCCTCTGCACAGTAACCGCCTTCGCCCTGCTTGCAGGCCAAGACGCGCACAACTCCCGCTCCGAGCTGCACCTTGACCTCTCCCACTTCGTCACCCACCTCTTCACCTCCCTCCCCGCGCTCTCCATGAACCCCGACCTCGAGCTCACCTCCAAATCGCTGCACATCCGCCCCGGTGCCACGCGCGACAACCGCGTAAACCTGCAGACCACAACGGTCCTCCTCCTGCGCTGCCTGACGGCCGTGCTGCTGCCCACATACCAGATCCGCTCCGTACCACCGCTGCGACTCGCGGCCTTCTCGAAGCAACTCATGTCGGCGGCGCTGCACACCCCTGACAAGTCCACACAGGCGGTGCTGGCGTTACTGCAGGATGTGGCGCACACGCACGGAAAGAAAATTAGCGCGCTATGGAGGACGGAGGAGCGGAAGGGCGACGGCATGTACAATGCGTTGAGCGACAGTGTAGAGGGCAGCAATCCGTATGCGACAACGGTATGGGAGGGCGAGCTGCTGCGGAAGCATTTCTCGCCCAAGGTTAGGGAAGGTGTCAAGATACTAGAGAAGAGCATTGGTAACGCATAATTCAAAGACAGAGGCGTTGGGGAATAAAAAGAGGTTTCGTTCCATCGTCTGCTTGTAATACCCTATGAAACGTAACTGTTTGGGCGGACTTGATACAAGTACGTTTGTTATGGTTCTCCACGTCACTAAGGAGCACAAAATTTCTACGGAATTGTTGATTGACCATCTATCTATCTACGAATCGGTGACTGGTCCATCAGTCCTTGAGCAAAAGTGAAAACCGGGTGGTTGATATCCTTGCGGATAAGGCCCTCGATGCTTAAGCGCACTCCTCAGTCCAAATCCAGGGGAACCCAATGCCTCCCAATCCTGAGCAAGTGCTGTGTGCACTCCTAACCTTCTGATCTCGCCATTTTTTCCTTCTCTCGTATCTAGTCTGCGTTCCGTCATCGCAGGCAGTGGTCTTTTCCAGCATCTCGAAGTATGGTTGCCAAATGGCATTATTACCGAGTGTCGGGATATCAACGTATCGTCATCATCCGAACATGTGTATCATCGTAACATCGTGCGAAGGATCAATTGCTGAGAAGAATCGGCCATGTCTTCAATCATAAGCACATGGAGGGGAGGTATCGTGTCAGCTTGCTGCCTGCCGAACCAGAGGCGGACTTCAGCAGAGCAAGTCTGTTAGCTGTAGAACGAACAGCGTTCCGACTCGCTTTTCGTCTTGAATCTCATCAAGCCCAAATGGAGCTGCTGAGGCCGCGACTGTGGCCGGTCTTCTGCGGAGCACGCTTTGTAGCAGCTTTCTCCGCATACAGGATAACCTCGAGGTTGTCATCTTGCTCGGGCAAGGTGGCAGGAATAGCCCCGAACCACAGCGGGTAGTCGTCCTTGCACTTCTGAAGGACAGGGCAGTCCTCGTTGCTGTGGGTCAGAATAATGGCGTTCACGAGGAACTTCTGCGGGTCCGTAAGTGACTTGTCGCCATCCTCATCGACATTGAACATCGAGGAGCTGAGGCCATGCAGACCACGGGGTCGCTCAGGACAATTGCAGGTCTTGGGATCATCCGCAATGTCCTGCGCCGTCTCGGCAACCGCGGTGCTCTGCATAACAGGCTGCATAACCTTGCCATCGGCTGCAGGCAGAGACTGCATGTCTCTCAAGAGGTCTTGGATATCAGATTGATTCCTTCCTTCTTGAACAGCATCCCAAATGGCAACGAAGGAAGCATTTTTAGTCGCTGACGCGGGAGTGGTCGAGTTCTCTGTGGCGATAATAGGGGCAATGGGCAAGTTAGCCAGCATGCGGTTAGCGTTTCCCTCGAAGAGGGCATGCTTCTCCCGTTTGCTTTGGGAGCCCAAGGTGTCGACGTCGATGTTGGGAAGTACAGACTTGCTTTCCTTGCCGTTGCCAGACTCGCACACTGGAAGAGCGTTCTTGCGCGGGGTCTCCACAGTCGTGCTGTCATTGCCAGCCCAGATGCTTTGACCAAGACCATTGCGTTGAGCTGGAGCGGGAGACTGCTCATGCTTGACATGGTCTTTCTTATCGTGCTCGCCAGCGACAGAACCAGCAGCAGGTTGATTCTTGGTGACAGAGGCCTTGGGAGGAGCGGCAGGCCGAACAGGGGCCGTGTTGTGGGAAGCAACGGCACGAGGAGTAAGATGAGGCGGGATTCCAGCAGAGGCGGTGTTAGACGTAGAGGCGATGGTCTGCTGGCTAACAGCGGGAGCCAAGGAGAGAGTCCCAACACGGGCGAGATGAGGAGCCGCATCTTGAGTAGCTGTAGAGGCCGTGTTACCAGGAGCAGCGGGCCGACCCGCACTGCCGTCGAGGAACGACTGGAGGCCCTTGTCGACTTGTTTAGGAGCTGCGTTGGCGCTAGTTGGGGCCGGAGCAGAATTCCGATTAGACAAGTGCATAGGCCGGGCTTCCAGATTTTAGTAATTTGCCAACAGACAGACCGTTAGGAGACTTACTCATTGTTGCGGAGTGTGGGCGGGAAGAGTAAGGCCCAGCAGGAAGTCGGGGATCGCCTCGACCATATTCAGTCCGGGGGCCAACGGAGACAGGTCCATTGCCTCCGACTTTGGAAATGCCTCGTCCTCCGCGGCCGCGTACAGAACCACTGCGGGAATCATTGAAGGTTCCAACCTTCTGTTCCTGGCGTAGCATCTTGGCAAAGGCCATCTTCTCCTCGTGTGACTGCTGCATCTTGAAAGATCTGATGCTGACGTTTTGTTGAATGATGAATGAAGGAAGGCACCGGTGCTTATCACGAATGCCTGAGTAGATGCCTAGATCATCTGTCAAAAGAGCCCCAAAGTCTTGACGGATATTTTTACCTGGAGGAAGGGATCACCCAGGAAGCCTTTTGGCCAAGATTGTTGTCGAAGGATAGGAACCAACTTAAGCAGCCTTAAGGTCCCAAAGGCCTTGAAGAATGTGTTCAGGCGGAAGGAACGTGAGAAACTAGCCAACAGAACCTACTCAGGTGTTAGTGACGCATGAAAATTAGTTGACAGAAGCAGTGGTGATTTTTGCGTCACACGGTGACCGTCTTGTGTTGAAGTAGGTGACAATGTCGACGAAGGAGAAAGTCACTGGAGGGTGGAGTGGCTTCCTAGGATCAGAAGGTACACTGAGCCTCCCCAATGTCAGGAAGGAGGGTGAGTTGTTGAGGAAGGAGGGAAGGCGGTGGGAGTTCCGCACTGCGACCTTGGCAAAGAAGGCGATCCTGAAGGCCGGAGGAAAAGACCCAAAGCTCGAAGGAGATATACTTGCCTTCCAAGACGAGAGGTTGTAGAAATCCAGTTCGGTCAGCACTACCTCCAGAAGATGAAGACTGAGTAGTCAAAACGAAAGACGGATGGCGGTTGGTGCCTAGGAAGAGTTTGGAGGCAGTGGAGTAGCGCGTGAGGGAAGGGGAAAGAAGAGTAGTAGGCAGGTGAAGGGAAAGAGAACGGCAGGATGTAAAATACCCAGCGGCTTGGCGGGGTAGGTCGTCGCACCAGAGGAAACGAAGGGGGCTTTTTTGCTCTTGCTCTGGAAAGAAGGTCGAGGTAAAGTGGAAGTAGTGGAAGGAGAAGAAGTAGTCGAGGTGGAGGAAGCAGTAGAAGGAGGGGGAGTAGTCGAAGTAGAGGAAGCGGCGGAAGGAGAGGAGGTAGCCCGGCAACCAGCCCACGATGCCTTCCTTGACTCTCAGAACTAAACAAGCGAGGGAGGAGCAATGGGCCTTCCTGTCCTGAGATGAGGTAGGCAGGTAGCCAGGGGAGCGGGGCTTGTCATGGAGGAGTTTGCTCGAGAAGGAGATTCGAATGGTGGCAGGCTGTGTCCTTGCCTCGGGTCAGTCGTTGACATTCACAGGGGCAAGTGGTTCTGGGTCATCGTGACAGTCTGTTGGTTATTGTAGGCTTGAAAAGAGAGACCATTTACTTCGCCTTTCACGTAGTAGGTTGAGCTCGTGATATAGGCAGACAGCTGTGAACCTACTTCCCGACGAACAAGAAAATAATAAAGCACCATGCACCTGGCCGAACCCTCTCTTGTCTGGCTAAGCAGCATGACCAAAATGGTAGATGGGGGAAAGCAGATGTGCAACTGCTTATGAAGCTGGCTGATTGGTGATAAAGCAGCACTTTCAAATGTCTTGCATGTCGAGCAGTGAGAGTACCTATATACAGAATATACTATGTAGATTGTGATCCAGCATCAGTACTCTCCTCTATCCCGACATGCTTGGTCTTCAGGCTTTGCCCGCCTTCTTGGGAATAATCTTCTCTTCTGTCTTCAACTGCATCTGCCGATACTTGGCATCTTGGGCTTCTTCGAGCCAAGCTATTCGCACGGGTGAGACGTGCTCATTGACAAACTCAACCAATGCTTTCGACATGGGAGCCCCCACGCGGATGCCGACAGATGACACTCTGGGAATGCCAAGACAGGCACTGAGCTTGTCGCCGCAAGGCTTCGAGTATCCCACGAGTCTCGTTGCTAGCGTGGATTGGGAGTGTTTCGAGGCGACAGCGACCATTTGCGGCAGTTGAGAGTTAAAAGCTGATGACTGGCCTGACCTTGCCACGAAGATCAAGGCGTATGGATGGGCGCTGCTGGAGACGGCGTCATTATCGGTTGCTGGTTGTTCTGAGCCTGACGCAAGCTTCTCGAGGTTGCGAGTGATGCCGGTAAGTCCGACATCGACGAATGAGGCGATGTCTGGTGCTGGCGGCCGCTCTGTCTTGGCCGGTGCCTTGGATTCTCCGCCCTCTTCCTTTCTCTTCCTCTTAGCTGCCCGTTTGCCTTCCGATGGCTTCACATGTCTTTGACGGTGTTGGCCAATAGGCGTCAAGAGGCTGTCTGGCATCAGCAAACGCTCTGAATGCGAGGTCAAAGGAGGACTCAAGCTCCCACGACTCACCTGCAGATAAGTTCCAGAATTGCATCCTGGTCTTCTAGTGAGATTTCAGGCCTTTGTTATTGCATGTTAGCATGGCGCGCGTGTAGGTTTGAACCAGGGATCCTACCATTGGATCGTCGAGAATGGTGTATCTACAGAGTACACCAGCTTCTTCCTCTGAGATGTAGCCATCTCACTTCTTGACTTTGTGTTTAGAACTGTCTCCTGCACCGCTTATGTGGAGACGAAGGGAGGTAGAAAGACTTTGTGGCGGTGGTCAGTAGACGTTGGCTTCGAGATTTCCGCTGCTACTAGACCGATCTGATACTTTGTTCCGTGCCTGGGAATATTGGGCGTGGCGCAGCAACTGACTGCCAAAGGTATTTGAGTTTCGCAAATGCTGTCAGTGGCAGAGGGTATGGTGAGGGCCGCCAGCATGCAGCAACACGCAAGATGGAGTCAGTCGAATAAAAAAAAGATAAAAGTAAAAATCAGCCAGGGAAAAAAACGCGAGGCTAAATGGCCTTAGCGGCCGGTACGCCGATAAGCGAGATGCTAGCGTGGGCCTGAGTCGATCGAGTGAGAAACAAGAGATGAACAGAGGAGCTCCGATTCTCAACGCCGTGAAGCAAGTGGCAGAAGCAGGTCATGCCAAGAACCCGACATTCCATCTCCCAGGGTCGGTGTCGATCTTGTGCACGTTTCGGTAGCCGCTGTCAGGACGCGATTTGACGTCAGCTCCGGAAGAAGAGAGGCGCATCGGCCGTTGGAGTAAGGGTGCGGCAAGGACAAGGGCAGCTCTCTACGGGCCCCGCATGAGCTCTTTCGGAGGGTGGCACGGACGACAGCGGGAGGAATGGAACCAGCCCGGTCGAGCCAGGGGCGCCGAGAGGCCGAGTGCTACGTTGGAGTTCCAAGGTAGGTGATCTGAGTAATTGACGGCGGGCCGCTTGGTGGGCACCATCACGGCTTCGACATGACATGTGTGTAAGTTCAGCCCAACTCTCCTCTCGGAAGATGATGGTTTGCGGACCACGGCGGAGGGCGCCTAACGGCCCGGGTGGCCAAGAACGAGACGAAAGCAAGAGAACCGTTGTGGCATTAGATGTCTTCTCTTTTGCTCTCGAGGACGGAGAGGCAGCAATCCGCGGTGGGTTGACGTGTTGATGTGCTGCTGGCATCAGTCTGACTTGTAGGAAATTCAAGATGACTTCCCTTCCTGAGTCAAATTTCAATGACTGGAAACAGAAGAGTAACGAGACTGCTCGTTGGTCTACAAACGCCCAATATTGATTGCGGCCCGGACAGCGTTGATCGATTTGCGCGAATGACCTTGTGAGCCAGCCGAGATGCCCAAGCGCTTTCCCGAAGCTACCACCTCCATACCTGACTGGGCGTCCTCCAAACCTCTCGGATTGTTGCCTGGCAAGAGGTGTTCGGCTTGCTTCACACAGCGATTGGCTCATTGGTCTCTGCGCGTTCGAACCGGACCACCGCCATGTCGATTTGACTGGCCAGCTTTTGCTGCTCCCAAGACAATCTTGCACCCAAACAGATGGGGGGAAAATAGAAAAAAACAATAGAAAGAAATAAAAGCAGGGCATCTGTTAGGGGAAGAGACGAATGAAGGGGGATTTTTGCCTTCAGGTATGGCTGGTGGTAATAGCAGATGGAAGGCAATGTGGACTTTTGGGCGACCTTGTGGAGTCAGCCAGTCTGAGTCTGGTACGATGGTACGTACCCGTAGTCTCTGTGGAAGTTGACCAACCACGAGCGCTCCAAAAGTCGCCTTCTGCAAGCCACAGCTGCCTGGCCATTGACCAGAAGGGTGGGAAGCGAGACAATCATATCGCTCGTCATTTGTCCTCTTCCCCGTGCTGTCCAAGCAGGCATAGATATCCGCCTTCGACTTGCCAAAGAAAGGGACAGGCTCCTGTCCTACCACCATTGCCCACTCAGCCCTCGCAAAGCCAAAGGAACAACGGCCGGCGGTTCTTTGTGCTGTTTTTGCATCATCTCATCCTGCTACATCGACGATTTATTTCGAAAAGTAGACAGCAGCAGGCATCACACACACCCAACAAGCTGGCATCCCGTTGCCGACCACACAGTAAGACCACCCACGTTGACGAGAGATTGAAAGATATGTTCGTTGAGAACTAATGAAAAACGGCAGCAGGCCAGTTCTCATCTGAAGACCACAGCTACTCGACCCTCTTCCTTGCCTCGCCTGTACCGGCACTTGGTTCCCTGCAGGTACCTCACTGCCTTCGGCCCAGCCAGTTCCACCTCAGTCAACAGCAGCTCCCCACCCAAGACTATCCGGACCGTGCTCCTTGCCTGCCTGTCTTCTTAGCCACGCTTGACTAAGGTACACCGTCACCCCGCACCGCCCACCGCCAAAGCCTTCTGGCGTCAACGACGCGCCAAAGAAGCTGCGCGGACGAGCTCGACGTTGCAAAGATAGGTAGGTACCTGCATTCTCATTTCCATTTGCTCATCTGCCTCTTTGCCTCAAAAGTTCCAAATTGTTCGCCCGTCTGCCTTGCCAGAGAAAAAGCAGAGCAGGAGCACATGCTCACGGATACGGCTTTAGACTTATTTGCTCTTCTTTTCGTCTGCCCCCCTAGACGTCCTTCCCCGCCAGCTTCGTCTCCAGCTACCATTTCTGCTACGCGCTGATAAGCAAAGGTAAGGCGAAGCTCTTAGCTCCCCTACCGCGCCTACCTACCTTCACCATCCGCCACCACCCATCATCATCATCCTCCGTGGTGCCCAAGGCAACATAGGTAAGGTAGCTCAAGCTACCTTACAGAGCAAGGTACTTGCTTCAACCCAAGGTAGGTTTTACCGCCTACCCACCCGGCCTTGCCTTGCCTGCTCCCACCTCGCCTCACCACCAAATCTTCCCGACGGTCCCTTACCTCATCTTTTCCCCCATCGGTGTCTCCAAAACGCAAGTGCTTCGACGTCCTCCCCCTCCCCCTCCAAAGCAAAGCTCCCAGCTCTAGTGGATTCATTCATGCCCGCACTGGGTCTGAAGCACCCGAAAAAGGACGACGTGCAACCCCTGCACATTCCCCCCAAAAAGCCCACCTCCAACACAACTCGCTTGGTTCGTTGGATCTCAGCCTGCACTTCGGTATCGTCACCTCGACATCCTAGCGTCTGGCCCCAATCATTTTTTCTGGCACTTTTCGCTTTCTGAGCCACCAAGCTCTGTGCAGTCTCGTCATTTACTCAACCCCCCTCCTATTCACTTCCACTCCCCCAATCATCGTCCCGAATACACTGCGCGACACGTCCTCCTATCCAGCTACAACCAGCAGCTCTCGAAAAAAACCCACATGCTAAATCTAGACAGCTGCTGCCGAGTCGTCTCTCGCGCCCGAGTGACGTCTCTGGAGCTCCAGGACCCGCGCTGCGACTCCTCATTGCACCAGCCAGATGGACCAGCCTACAGGATCCTCGGAAGCACCAGAACGCGCGGTCTCCTCTGAGCCCAGCTCAACGAGACCCAACCCTTTCACAGAGGACGACGACGCCTCAAGGAAGCGACGCCGTACCTCCTTGTCTGGGGGCTCCCGAAGCCGATCCGCCGAAAGCCCTAGATCCGGCCTTAATACCTCCAGCTCCCCAGCTGCAAACCTCCTCGCCGACGATCACAATACTCAAGACTCCGCCATGAGGATAGATACCGGCCCCTCTACCCCGCAAACCCCAGAGATGCAGTCGACTGCCCGGCAGCCCCCGACAGAACCTCCTTCGAGCCGTGTCACGATAAACCTGCGCAATCCCGCCCAGCCCGACCTCTCCTCCTCGTCTCCCGTCTCCCCGACCCCTCAGTCCTTGCCAACCCAGTCGGCCGAACCCCCGGATGGCGTCAAGAAAAGCGTTGAAGACTTGGAGGAGGAGGAGGTGGACATGGTTCAGGCTCCCATAGAAATCACGGATACCCCGCCGTCAACCTCATCGAGTATGAGTCCCGAAGTTGAGGTGATTGCCATCCCGGACGAAGAACCGGATGCCCCATTCGACGATGAGGTTAGCATCATCAGAGAGGATGCTGGCTCTCTCGATCCCCTCGACCCCACCACAGATTTCCCATACCACGAAGCCCTCGAATCTTTGCAGGACACGGCGACGAGACTGGTTAACTACCTCTCTCCACCGAGTAAGGCAACCTCAACTTATCAGTAGCGAATACCTCTTCTGACTAGATACAGATGCACCCCCAGACGAAGCCGTTCTTGATTCTTTGCGAATATGGATGATTTCTTACATACAATATGTCACCAACGTTGGCGTGAATGCTGCGTATGAATCCCACCTGGCCTATCACAGCTTTTGGCATACATTTCCAGAGATTGCGTGGGTGCTTTCTACCAAGAAGTCGGTCCCTATCTTTTCCTCCAAGACAATTTCTAAGCTGACCATTTCATAGGCTTTCAGCTTCGCGGGACAGCGGACCTATCATCACGGACTTCTTCAGCGCGTTCTCCAAACTCGCGTCTTTTTTTATCGAATTCGATTATCTGACTGCTCAGGCTTTCCACACCAGCCCTGATGCTGATGGACGGCAGCCAGAGTATCTGATTGGCCGCTTTGTGCAGCCACTTTTGACGTATGTGAGGAGGGAAGAGGTGCGGGCTCACAACGCGATGCAAGCAGACGAGGAGATGCATTGGACGGCTGGAGGCAGCGTCACAGAGATGCTGGATCTGTTCCTGTCAGGGTCTGGCGATCTCAAACTACTGAACACTCTCACTCAGATGCATCTAGCCAATGCTTTGAGATACCAGCACGTTATGGACATGCTAGTGCCGATTGCCAACATCACAGCACTCATAGTGCGAAAGGCAGCACAGGTTATCCGTCGCCCGCAGGTCACACCCCAGAAGTTGGAAATGTCAAAAACCAGACTCGCCGACGGCCATGTCCTGTACAACATGGTTTCAGGAGCTCTCACCACTGTCATCGATAAGAACGTCACCCAACTCTCGAATGAAAACGCGCAGACACTCATTTCGGCTTTGCACGAGATCCTCAAACTATCGTTGGGTGGAGATCACAACCTGGCAACAGAGCGTCTCAAACTGCACCGACAAAGCTATCCCGAACTCCCTGCAAAGTTTACTGCCGATGCAATTGCGATGGAATGGAAGCTTGGCGTACTCGGGAAGCTCATCACATCCAGCCAGATGCAATTGCGTGTCATGGCAGCCTCCACCATGTGCCAAGATCTCGTTTCTCTGTACAAGAAGAACAACGACAGTGAGGATGACAGCAAAGACTACAAGGAGGAATGCTCCAAGTTCCTCAAATACATCGCAGAGTATCTTCTTCGTACCAAGTTGGTGGACTACATATTGGGACCAACATGCCATCCTGAGATTACCGTGGAGAGCGGCAACATTGTTGGCTTTTTGGTAGTTACGCACTTCTACCGGAAGGAGCAAACCGATTTACTCTGGCAAACGATTACAACGACGCAAGACCCACGAGTCTCGGAAGCTCTGATCCGCATGGCGACACCCCTCACGACCCTTTTTACCAAGGAGGAACTTCTCTATCTATGCGAAAAGGTGCACAGCATGCCACTTGAGGCCTTCACGACATCTGTGCGCGGTCTCTGCACTTCCATGCTAAAAGATCTTCACATGAAATTCAATCTTGCAAAAGAAACGCCGAACATCTTGCCGTTGAGCTTCTGCATTCGACTTCTCCGCGAAGCGTCAGTCTACAGCCCAGAGTCACACATCACGAACCCTGAAGTGCACCAATTCGCCATCGATAAGTTCAAGGACTTGGTAAAAGACGGACTTGACCCCGAACTAAGGAAAGAGCTTTATAATGATTGCATCAGGGATATTGCCGTAAAATCATCCACAACGCTAGGTACCCTGTGGTGTCTGGGTATGGCGCTGCGACCAGCTGTCGCACACGAGTTGCGTGTTCTCACTGCGGAACACAACTTGACGGCTCTTCTCGTTGATGAGCTTGAGCACGCCATCGAGCAGGCAAAACAGGCCGGAATTCCGATTGTGCTTTGCGAACATTTTAACAGTCCCCGCAGGGAACTGATCAGCTGGATTCTCACCCACGAGCCCACCACGGTCACTTCCGACCTTGGCCCACGCCTATGGGATATGTTGGTCGGTCATGGCGCTGCATGTCAAGATGACAGGGGCGCGGGCTGGGCAATCCTCAACAATCTCCCCAAAGAGGGCAAAAGCAATCCATTTCGATTAGTGTGCTTCACTGAGTACCTACCCAACCTCCCGCGGGACTGCTTATGCGAAGGAGCGCTACAATTCGTCAAGGAAGCCATCGTCTCGCGAGTAAATGATATCAATGACATCATCCTTGACGATGACGAAAGTCTTGGCCAGAGTGGAATAGAGCAACTCTGGCGAATGGTACTCGACGCAGAGAACTTGGCGCTTGTGGATGCTGCCATTCAGACACTTGTGGTCGATGTCTACATTGAAAGCGAGTCAATCTTGGCATACCCGCACCATAGAGCACGCCAAGTTCATCTGGGTTTGGTGAATCGCTGCTTGAAGCAGATGGAGGCCGCTGCGAAGCGACTCGAATCTTTCAATGAAGGAACCCGGAGCGGAGATGACGAACCAATGGTGATTGTGGCGACAGAAGAGCAAACTAGAGAACAAGAGCGTGTCTTCATACGCTCGCTTGCAGTTCTTCGACACTTTCTTAGGGCGCACCAGACGAAGGCTCATTTTTCCGCACCTGATCTGCGAGCGTTGACCCCTGGCTCCCCGAGTGTTGCGGAGGGAGAGTCAGCCGAGCTCAAGTTTCAATCTTTTGATGGAAACAAGCAGACCGACATTATGCCTCTTGAGGTCGGACGCCGGAACACGGCAGCTTCTTTGCTGGCAAGCATCAGGCAGGCCACTGGGTTCGACAACTACCGGATCTACTACCGTGGCCGTCCGTTTGCACCCAACGAAAACGATGTTTGCCGGTCTTTGGAGGAGCTCAAGATCCATGATGGCCTGCTTCTGGTCAAGAGAGAGGAGAACGGTACCACTGCCGCTGCTAGGGTCAAACCAGGGGCTTCTCTTCTTGAGATCGAGATACTGGGACATTTTGAGCAACTGTGGAATTATTTGAGCATGCAAGAAGCTCTTGCCAGAGAGGTAGGCTTTCCGGCCCAGGAACTGAAGCTGCATGCATACTAACGTCTATCCAGATCCACAACTTCCTGGTCAAACTACCCGCAGATGCACATATGATAGCCGCCTTTGATTCTCCCGACACATCATACAAGCAGATTTTCCCACTCGGACAACCCTTCAAATCGCAATATGCGTTATACGCGATGCGAGAATATATGGATTCTGCTGTCCGTCGATTGAAAGAAGCCGTTGCCACCTCTGCTCCGGAGCAAAAGAGTGCAATCACTGATGCGTACCTTGACGCTTTAGTAAGAGTGCGGAAGCTTGTTGTCGCAGCCATTTCGGATCCGGATGTCATTGACAGCTCAGGATCGGAGGTGCTGAAGAATCGTCTTGCGTTCACCTTGATGAATACCTATTTGCTAACATTAAGAGGTGCGTACTTTTCCAACAGCTCTTCGAGGCATAACGCATCTAACTTTTTTGCAGAGCCTGCGCCATCAGGATCATCATTCAAATATAAGTCAGTTGCCATAGCACCTCCTGGGCGACTCGTCGATATTCTGAGATCCGCAATCAACGGACGGCACAACGAAACTTTTGTTTCTCTCACGGCGGCCACTTTTTCGGCCATCATCCGAAGTATTGCTATGGACTTTGCTTTCTGGACTGCTTTCGAGACTCTGCCGAATCTTGAGGACCTGCTGGGAACCCTGCTTCTGGACGAACCATGCGACACCATTCGCGTTAACATTGCTAAGATCATAGAGGATAGGATCATCTCTCCCAGCGAGTAAGTGATCTTGAGCTTCGTACTTTGTCTAGTACTGACATGAACAGGTCGACACCAAGCACGCGCTCCTTCTGCGAGCGTCTTTGGCCAATGCTCAACAGACTCATCGACAGAGCGGTCGAGAAGCCGAGACAATGCTTGCAAGTCTTCAAGCTATCTCATATTCTTCTCATCAAGCTCTGTCGTGACAACCCCGGTGTCGTGAATGTGCCTGAATTGGCAAGACAATGCGGCGATCTTTTACTTTCACATGATTCAGCTGAGGTCAGTCGATGCCATGCTTTTGTGTGTTACCAACTGACGAAGATAGCATATCGAGCAATTCGGTCCCGAGGACACCGTAGCACGGGGCCTGGCTAATCTGCTTTGGTACTGCCTAACAAGCGAGATGGACCTGAACGTGGAACAGGAACTTCCAGAGTCAGTGATAAGAACGTCTAATTCATTACATTCCACTGACCCTCAATGCAGCAAACTTGGTAGGAAACTCTTCTGGAAACATCTGTTTCCGCCCCCACAAAGGGATGGCAGTCGCGGACGTTCTTGCATCCTTTCAACTGCCACCAGATTGGTCCTGGGAGACATCGTCTTCTATTTGGTTTCCAGATCAGAGCAACGCCTGCACGAGATGCTGATCGATTTGGAGAGCTTGGTTCCTTTTGACGAGTTCGAGAACGGTTGGTGTACCTTGCTCACCGATATGCGATATACCCGCTTACATTCTCAAGATCCTTATATCTACGAGCTGCAACCACAATTCGACCGCATGTCTGCCATCAGAGCTCCTTGTGGATATGCTGGACTTCGGAACCTGTCCAATACATGCTACCTCAACTCACTCTTCACTCAACTCTTCATGAATATCGGCTTTCGTAAATTCATGGTTGATGCCGTCACAGATGAGCTACAACCGCAGAATCTAGTGGCCGAAACCCAGAAGCTGTTCGCGTTTATGCAAGAGAGCGCTCGAAAGTTCATCGATCCCAGCTTGCTTGTGGGATGCATCAAGACGTACGACGACACGCCCATTGATGTCCACAACCAGATGGATGTCGACGAGTTCTACAATCTGCTTTTTGATCGATGGGAAGGACAGCTCAACACTGTTGAAGAGAAGCAGGCTTTGAGATCCTTCTATGGTGGTCAGCTGGTGCAGCAGGTTGCGTCCAAAGAATGCGATCACATCTCGGAGCGTCTGGAACCGTTTTCGGCTATTCAGTGCGATATCAAGGGTAAATTGAATCTGCAAGACAGTCTCCAAGCATACGTCGACGGTGAAATCATGCAAGGAGGTAAGGGTTGCCCACTCTTCTTCATCAACATCGGCTGATCAATTCCAGACAACAAGTACAAGTGCTCGAGCTGCGACCGGCATGTCGATGCCGTCAAAAGGTTTGATTCTATGTTTTGCCAGCATCGTGATATACAGCTGACCGTTTGTTCAGGGCGTGCTTGAAGGATATCCCCGATAATTTGATCTTTCATCTCAAAAGATTCGATTTCAACCTGCGTACATTGATGCGCAGCAAGATCAACGATTACTTCTCGTTTCCCACCAAAATCGACATGCGGCCGTACACAATTCATCACCTCGGATCTCCCTCTGACTCGGGCGAAGAGGACATGTTTGAGCTGGTTGGCGTTCTGGTCCACGCAGGTACTGCGGAATCGGGTCACTACTACTCATACATCAGAGAACGACCTACTGGCGCCTCGTCAGAAGCCTGGTTTGAGTTCAATGATGACGTTGTCTCGCCTTGGACTCCAGCCGATTTGGAAAAGTCAACCTTCGGTGGCCCAGAGGTGCCTTTTGACAACGGAGTTTCCTATGACAAGACGTACAGTGCTTACATGCTGTTCTATCAACGATCGTCGGTCCTGAAAGCAGAACAGGAAAAGGCACAGAGCCTTTCCCTTCCTATGCCACTGAAGGTCACTCTCCCCAAAGATGTTGCCGATCATATCGCGGGGGAGAACACCATCTTGCTGCGAAGGCATTGCCTTTATGATCCAAGCCACTCACAGTTGGTTCTCAAGACATACGATCATGCGCGAATGCGGGATGGGGGCTTGTGCTCTCCCATGCACCTCATTGAGCAGCGAGCCATGCACATGCTGCTCGGTCATCTCGACCAAGTTGCATCGAGAACCAAGGATCTTCCCTACTTCGAGGCATTCCAACGACAGATCGAACGCGCCTGCGTAAATTGCGTCAAATGTTCGTTGGATTTCATCGAGTATTTCCAAGAAAGACCCGAGTCTTTCCGACAACTCCTTCAAAGAAACCCGGACCCCGGCGTCCGGTACGCGGTTGGCAGCATGTTTATCACGAGCCTTCGGACGATAAAGGCCTCGCAACCCGAGGTTTACTACGTTTCCGAGGAAGATATGGTCGAGGAGCCTGTCATGGCCCAAGTTATGCAGCTGTTTGACACTCTCTGGATCAACTTTCAAACGAATATTCGTTCCTGGTCTGAGGTTTTCCAAACAATCCTCGCATTCGCCAAACTTGGTCCGGCGGAGACGGCATTACTCTTGTCGGAAGACTGGTTCATGAAAATTCTGCGCATCATCATTGCGGACGCAAACTTGGAGATGCCACAGCAATACATGCGAATGCTGACGAACGTTATGCGTCGCATGAGCAACACCCGCGCGATTCAGTATGACATGATTATCCAACTCGCCGAGCATTTCATTGGCTCTTTGGAAGGCATTCTTGATCCCAGCACTATCGTGGACGGTCCTGAGGTACGGTGGGAGCTCTACATGGAACACCAGAAAAAGAGTGGCTCACCGCAAAGGTTTCCTTGGACGTCGAGCGAAGTAACCCACCTTCTACATGAGCTGGGCAAGGGCAGCGGAAGCATCTTCGTCAAAAAGTTGATTGAGCTAAACCAGGAACATCTGTTCACGGCAGCCATCATCAGGCGGTTGATGAATTCTGGCCCCGAAATGGAGTCGAAGGTCTTCTCTGCTATCAGAACCATGATCAACGGACAACTGGTGCAATATCCGGTGACACCTTTCATCCAAGCGGCCATGGTATTCTCTGAGCAAAGCAGATCCGATAACTACGTACTGTCGCTCTTCCGCCACGTTGCCGCCGAATGCAGAAGCTTGCAAAACTCAGAAGGTGCCGCGTTCTTGGGTTTCTTCAAGATGGCCTATAGCAGCCTTCAAAACAGCAGCGACGAAAGCGACGAATCCCGGCATATGGTTTACATTGATTTCATCCCCATGTGGGCGCCCAGCCTACTAGGCTTCTTCGAGCCTGAAGTGCGACGTGAGACAGAGTACTTCCTGTCGGCATGGCTTTCGACTCACGCGCCGGATGACAAGGAAGACAAGTTCTCGGCCCTTGTCAACATGGCAGCTCGGAAACTTGCCATGAACTGCCTGTATCTCCTCAGAGAGAACTTCTTGAAGCGACGGGCGCCGATAGTGAAGCAGCACACTGAGAGCTTGCAAGGCATCATCGTCGCCTGCGAGCCGTACTTCCAGGTCGATATGGCGACGGATGCGGACCAGCGCATCATCACCCTGGCTGAGTTCCAAGAGGCTTTCCGCTGTGAGTGACGTATGCCCCGTAAACAGCTTGATTAAGAAACTGACTTCTGGGGTAGCAATTATCGAGCCTCTTCGACGCATGGCAGTGGAGGAAATGGACGACGAGGGCTCCGGTATGTCTACAGGCCTCTACAGTGACTCTGACACCATCTCCTCGGAACCACGAGGGCTGACTTGACGGCCCAGACTGGGAAAACTCGATAGCGTCCTCGGAACAGTTGGAAAGCCTGGCAGACGTGACCATGCAAACGGCCGGAGACTTGCCAGACGCGGATCTTCAGTAACGCATGCATTACAACACCTATGATGACATGAATGACTACGGAATACTTTGAACTTTTTCGATTGTGCAATGTGGGAAACAGTCCCATCACGCAAGGCGTCAAGGAGATGGGGAGTCCCAAATGGGACGAATATCGGACTTAGCGATATGAAATACTGTACAGGTGGGAGGAGATTTCTTGCATTCGGTGGCGCGCCGGCGTTCAGGACCCAGAAAAGGGTGAGGTGATTTCGACATCTAACGGGGGCGATGGCGACGGCTAGAAGAGTAGTCTGGATTCCTTTGACGCGGTCGGCTGAAGATGAGTCGCCGCGAGCAGTCAGTGGGCTGCCCTCTATTGGAGGCCACTGCGATTGAGAGTGCGTAAACGGTATGGAATAGATAGAATATCCATGTATTGTCAACCGCCAGGGCCGGCAACAGCCTCACAATAGGTCCAGCAAGAGAGTTGCCCGCGTGCAAATTATTTTAGGCACGCCTATGAATGAAAAGTGCAAGCATCGCTGTGATATGGCCGCGGCTTGTTGTCTGGGAAGCGGTCTGGCTGTGGGGACGTAGACCAACGAAGATGCGCGAACGACGTAAGATTTCCAATATTAGACGTACATCGGTGAAGGCCGGTTGGACAGATGGTGACGAGAGGAGATTGGGGACTGAATCACGGTTGTACTGGCGAGTGTTTAGCCGCCGAACGGTGGGTTAAAGTGGTGACTTGGATCCCGGATGATGGAGTGCATTTACGGGCGGGGACAACTCGATTGGCTCGCGGGGTTTGCAGGACAATATGTGAAGTAGAGAGGCGGGCGGACCTGGGTGTGGCAGCTTACACATCAAGCATTGCACGTGGGATTTTGGTATTGTTTCTAAAACGGATTTTCCAGTCACCGTAGATCATTTTGTAGATCCCGAGATGGGTTATGCGATTGGTCAATGGCAGCGGGAGTGCTGGCGGTGAGGTTCATGGAGTTGGCGGTCTACATACTTGGTTGTCCAAGAGCGCGGCGGGATCTTGTGAGATGGGGTGGTTATTTTGAGACCGCTCTATCTTACCGTCGTCGTCGTCGTCGTCGTCGTCGCCCCTATTGTTATTATCATTTCTACTATCGTCTTCCATAGGCAAATTTCAGCACATAGGGATAGCTGCGCAGACACAAGAACATTAAGCGCTGTCGTCGTTTTTAGATCACGATGTGCAGGTTCACGCGAATGGGCGGCGGCGACGGCTGCATCGGCTTCTTGCAGGTGGTGGAGGTCGGAGATGAAGGGGGGGATGGATGGACTCGGTGCCTGTCCGAAGCCGCGGCCGGCCGAGTGGAGGCCGAGAGGGGGAAGAGCGATGATATCAAGTGCCGGTGGCTAAATTATGCGATACCGATGGATATTCGTGGTTTGCCATCTTTGGCCGATGTCCATGTTTCCACGGGAGGGGGAGGGGGAGGGGGTTGTAGTGCGCCGGCGGGCTCGGCGGAGGTCGTATCGTGTGAGTCGTGCAGGTCCAATGTAATGTCTACGGATTTATTGTTCTCGTGATGTGGTTTTGGGTGTTGCGGCTGGCTACTTACTTACCGTCCCTCCCGTCATCCGCGCAGAGAATCGCGGGGTTTTGCTTGGCGGGGTGTTTGGCTGGGCGAAACAGAGTTGGGTGATCATTCGAGAGGGTGCGGTTCGTGGTGGTGGTCGTTTTGTTTTGGCCGACACAGGATGTTTGGCAGATCCGGAAGTTGACGAAGGTGACAGCGGGTTTGATGTTCTTCTTTTGTCTATGCATACGCAAAGGTAAAAAGGAGAAGGGTGCGAAACGGGCTTGACAGCTCACGCGGCATGATCGGGAGGCAAGGCAAGGGCGATTGGGGGAAAACAAGTTGGTTTTTCTTGACGTGTTTGACGGTTTCGTGTGGGAGCCTTCAGGCGATGCGGCGTGGGTGTGGTGCGAGGCTCAGCTCATGTGTTCATGTGTTGGTGACGTGCTTGTCGGTTTCAGAAGATTGGGCGGGTGTGGTGGAGTTAGTCAGTTGGTGTCTGTGTGTGTGTGTGTGTGTGTGTGTGTGTGTGTGTATGTCCATTGCCTTGGGACCTTGGAAAGCATGGTGAGGGGGGCTTCGGATGAAAGAACATCGGGTGGAATGGTCGAGATCTTTTCTGATGCAGTGATGCTCGTTTTGGATTTGTTCTTGGCGGTGGTGGGAGGGTATTGGTGTGTTCTCTTTTTTACGAGGACGAGGGACGAGGATGAGGAGATCGCGATGGTGGCAAAGAAAAGCCAAGGTGAGGAGTCGTGGCTGTTCTTACGCCTTGGTAAAAGTTTGTTCAGTTACTAAGCGGGGGTGGGAATCCTCTCTCTTTTCTCGTTGCCTGGTGGTGTTCAACGTGATGCTAGTCTCGAACAAACGAAGCCGTCGCCAAGTCTTGGCCGGTTTCCATCATCTTTTCTCCCCATCTCCCTTTTTTGGGACGACGGCGATCCATCGGCTCTCTCTGACCCCACGATGGATCGATCGACTCTGCGACGCTGTGGAAAGAGCAATTTATCTCGAGGGCATCTCGAGACGAGGCATGCCAAGCGAAGTCAAGACGTCTGACGGGTCGGTAGAGTTTTCCTGGGGTAAATTGCGGTACACTAGATTGTACGCTTGTTTTTGGTATTTTTCCGTCCGCGACGGCGTAAACTCAAGTAAATTGTGATTCTGGGTCCCCCAGACGTATGGGATTGATGCTGTCCACTCTCTATCTGCTGGGCTGGGGCTGAAGGTGAGGCTGGTGTTTGAGGTATTGAGGCATTGAGGCGTCGATGGTCTTTGAAGCTTTGCTCTGCCTTGTTTTGTCGTGGCCATGAAATCTCGCCTCCAGGTATTCTTGGTTCTTGTCCTCAGCGCCCCCAGGAATTAGCAGCCTCTGTATCGATGGGTGGGTAGGCGTTCGCCGTTCGCTGCGTCCGTCCCTCCTGCCATCCCTTCCTCGCCGCGGCCGTGAGTTATCGCGCGGGCCAACCGATGGCCCCCCCGAGCCATGTGCCGTTTTTGGGGGGCCTGTCGGTAGAGGCGGCGATGACTTGTGGTGAGGAACACTGAAAGGGAAAAGCAATCTATTTTTGCGACACTGGCGAGAACGGCGGGCCCGGTCATGCACGAATCCCTGTCCGGCACGCACACGTCGATCTGTACGTAGATCCCCACCCCGACTCTGGCCACGAATCAGACGAAAAACAGGCCCACGGCTTTCCCAGCTGTGAGGGACACCAGTGACCACAGGCGCGGGGTCAAGGCGCTGAAAATAGCAGCGTAGCCGCCGAAGGGTACAGATACGGAAAGCTGCGAAGCTACTGCAGCGTAGGCAGCTTTGGGAAAATCTACGATTGGACGGCCTGGGTTTCTGGGTAAGCTGCAGAGGCTAGAGCCGTTGATGAGATGCGGAGATTGGATTGGATTGGATTTTGCGGTCAGAAGGACGTGAAGAGTAGAAGATGGGAGAGTCCCATTTTCGACTTCATTTTTAGATATGCAATGTGATGAAGTGCAGTAGTCTCTGGTGGTTTGTTCTCGATTTAGGAGGTAGCCCGCTCGCAATGCGCGGCTCTCGCAGTCACTGCTGCTGCTGCTCCAGCTGGTACCTTACCTTGGACGACATTATCGCTGTCCATGTCTGCTATGATCGAACAAGAACTGGGTCAGGGGCGCTGGGAAGACCGTAGGACGACGTTCGCTGTGGCATCGTTTGATGACAGGCTGAGATAGATGACAGGCGGGGACCCCTAGCGACTTCACACACCACGCCCCCCTGAGTAAATCGGCTCCCCTTTCCATCCCCAATCCCACCCTCCCACTTTCCTTGGCCCTTTGCGACTGCACCGCATGCCGCCTCGTCACCGGTTGCCCCCCTCTCTGCCCTTCTGTCTCCCAATGGAAGCGCTGCGAAGACACACGGAAGAGGCAAACGGAAAGGAGAACACGAGGAACATCCCCTTCTCCGTATGTGCCTCCAAAGAACATTGGAAGATCATGAAACAGACACCATCTCTTTTTTTGGGACAGGTTCGCACTCACCAACACGGATGACAGCAGTAGCAGCAACAGCAATAGCACACGCCCCTCGTCATCATCATCACCATCCTCATCATCTAGAAGAGACGGGTTTCATCTTTTTTGGCGCCCAGCCTCACCAGCACCTCGTGCAAAGACCACGGCCTGTCAGATACGCCACGCCACGCCGCGCCGCCGCGCCGTGAACCTTTTTTTATCCCACTTTTATTTGCTGCCCTTGGTATCCTGCTCCCAAGGACCCCTACCCCGGCAGTGATAATCGTAAACCTAGCGTGGTGGGTCAACGTCCGAAGTCACCCTGCGTCGTCGTAGTGGTAGTCGTCGTCTTCGCCATCTCGCGTGAGCTCCCCCTCTCCAAAACTCCAAGGTACCTTACCTCGACCAGGCCTTTCTCGAAAGGGATAGATGGGGCCCCTCTCTACCCATTACCCATAAGGCTGTTTGAGTCGCATCGCGAGCACAAAGAGGCACATATGTATACTCGGATGACCAGGGGGTGTCCTGCATACGAAGGCTCTTGTTTCAGATTTTCTCTTTGAGCTAGCTGCTAGCTAGGCAAAGCCGGAGGAGCTACGACTGGATATATCTTCACCTGCCCTCCCATCCCACCTCACCTCTGTTGTTTGTTGAGATCCAAGACGAAGATCATACACAAAGGGCGTCGACGCCGACAAAACATTTCCTTCAACACACTCCTTCAAAGCTCAGGCCTGGCGCCCCAGAGTCCGTTACCAATCTTGTAATACCAATTGGACCGATATTCTTCAAAGCTTTCTCAACTACTTCTCTTCTCGCTTACGAGACCCTTTCCGAGAACCCTCAGTCAACATGGCTCTCAAGGGTCGCATTTCGTCTCCCCTGGAGGCCGGCACCTCCATCCTCGACGTCCAGAACCTGCCGCCCCATCTTAATGAAGCCCTCGAGTACGCTTCCAAGAGGCTCGCCAGGAAGGCTCTCCACGTCACCCTCGTCGTCGCCAGACGCGAGTACCAGCTCCCTACTCTCCTGCCTTCGTCCTCCGGCCTCACCACGCCCACGATGTCGCCACCGAGCTCCCCGCCGCTGCCTTCCACGCGCTTCGGCGGCTTCGGCTCGCCCGTCTCCTCCTTCAAGAAGCTCGTCAGGACGAACACCGGGTCCAGCATCTCGTCCGTGTCCACCGTCTCCTCCGCCGGCAGTGAAGCCAAGTCTCCCGAGACCTTCACCTTCACGCCCTCGTTCCTCATGGACACCAACGGTCCGAGGTTGAGGTGGCCCCTGTCCCCCGGCATCCCGCTTTCGCCCCCTCCCATGACGCCCTCTGTCGCCTCCTCCACCATCACCGACGCCTCCGGGCCCATGTCGCCCAACCCCTTCGGCATCCGCCTCATCCACGCCGACCTGCTCACCGACAAGCAAGAGCGCACCCTCCGCCAGACCATCGAACGCGCGGAGAGGAAATTCCGCATCGGGTACGTCACTCTATTCATCTCCCACCCAAATATCCCACTAACACACACACAGCTCTGAATGGCTCCCTCCAGTCGTCGACGGCTCCGCCTGCGGCATGACCTCCAGCCTCATCCGTCGCTCCATCGTCCAAAACGAAGTCCTCTTCGCCTCCGAGGGCCTCACCCTCGTCTCCCTCGACCGCCTCTACACCTTCAAGGCAGCCCTCTCCAGCTACTCCCGCACCAACGCCCCGCTCAGGCTGGAAGACGCCGTCGACGAGCTGCGCCGCCTCATCCTCTCCCGCGCCGGCAAGAAGGTCTCCAAGTCCGACCTCCTCCGCTCCTATGACTTCCTCAGCGTCAGCGACGCCGCCCTCGCCGACGTCGACAAGATGTACCGCAGGGCGTACGGCGGCCCTGACCGCGTCGGCGCCATCGAGGGCGTCGGCTCCAAGGCGCACGTCGAGGAGACCATGAGGGAGCTCGAGAGGGACGTCGAGGAGACCATGGCCGCGGCCATGGCCACCATCAAGATTGGCAAGCCGCCTTCGCCCAAGGGCCCCGTGCTGAAGCTGCAGACCAACTTCGACACCAAGCCGTCGCCGCCGATGGTCGAGGCGGACGAGGTCTCCGAAGAGGAGTTGACGGCGCGGCCGGAGCGTCAGCCCAACGTGTCCGTCTGGAGCCCCGTGTCGATTGCAGAGGTTCTTCACGAGGACCGCTCCGTCGAGGACAGACAGAGGCTGGGCCCGATGACGCCCAACGGGTATGATGACATCTCGCCCATCACCAGAGGCGAGTGGGGTTTCCTCATGGGCCCCGGCGGTGTTGGCAACGGCCGAACTGCGCCTGTCGTTACCTGCTGAGAGCACAATATTGCATGTTTCTTTTTAGATGTTCAAAAATGGGTTCGGTACCTACATTTTTCTTCCTGTATGATAGCTTTTTTCCTTTTCTTTTCTGGGTGATGAAGTCACGAGGTCAAAGTTCGGATACCACGGTCGCGATGGAAAGCATCGTTTGTTGTACACTAGCTGCATCGTTTGTCAAACAAAGAACGAAAAGAATGTTCTGTATCAATTTGTTGGGTATCATTAAATCTCGCGCTGCCGTGATAAACTTTTCTACCAACCGTAGCGGCTCGACGCCTCCTTCCTGTTGCTCTTCCCCTTTGCGAAACTCTCCTCGAGCGCCTCGCGCTGGGTCTGCACCTGGTTGACGAGCTGGCGCAGGCTGTGCTTGCCCGGCGCAATGGAGCGCACGGGGTTGTGAATCTGCTGCTGGCCGGCGGCGCGGAGCTCCTCGTTGTGCTTGTACTCCTCGTCCGTGTTGAAGTTGATGACCCTGGACGCCGTCTGCGGGTTTGCTCCCCCCTTTTGCCGGCCGAAGAGCTCGCGACGTGCCGCGGCGGAGAGGTTCAGGTCGTCGGCGATGTTGTCGAGCGAGTTTGAGTCTGTGGGGGCTGTGGAGGGGGCCGGGTAGTTCATTTGCGAAGCGTAGTCTGCGTAGCCGTTTGACTCGTCTTGTTGGGTTTCGAAAAGGGGCTCGTAGGCGCCGCCGCCGCTGGGTATTGGTGTGGGGTCCGTTAGTGTCTCTTCTGGTTCTATCGAGAAGAGGGACACTTTCTTTGGTGCTGGCGCAGGCGCGGGTGTGAGAACTTCTTTTGGCGCCGGTTCTGGGGCCTTTGCGGGCTCGATCTTGGAAGCGGATGGAGTGACGGAGGACGCTGTCTTCTTCTTGGGCTTGCGGGCGACGGAGAGGGGTCGGAACATCATGGGCTTGCCAACCAGCTTCACTTCCTCCTCCGGCTTCATGCCCTGCGGTATCGACGGCTGCGCGGCAGCCTTGGGGGCCGGTAGGTTGAGGCCTCCATCGCCTGAAGATCCGGCGCCATCGCCTCGATCGCGACTGAATCCAGGTTCGGCCCCGGTCTTGAGCTGGAACACGGGGCGTGACGAGCTGCTGCTGCTGCTGCTGCTGCTCTGCGCAGGTGTTGTCTTGGCCGCGTTCTTGGGTGGGGGCAGGAACGAGTTGAAACCGCTGAAGCGGCCGCCTCCTGCGGTACGCGCTCTCTTCGCCGGGGGCTCGTCGATCGAGGCTGGGGGTTCTTCGAGTTTTGCGGATGGCAGGTTAACGACGATCTTGCCTGGGTTCGATCGGTCGACGACTTTCTGGAATGGCTTCTTCGCAGTGGTGCCGGCGACGGGTCTCGCGACGGTGGGCTGGGGAGGCGCTTCGTCCTCCGACCCTGATGATTCGGAGTAGTCTACCAAACCCATCTTGCTGCTAGATTCGTTGTGTTGGTGGATGAAGTTTGAATGCGACGATCATAGGCAAAGGTGATGTACCAGGTTGAAATGCACCGCCACATGTTATGCAAGGCTGGTTCTCGGGCCACTAGGAGTCCAACGCTCGAGCCACCACTGCCACCTTGGTGTTTCACGAGGCTGAAGAAGGCACGACACCGAAGTTACCCCTCGACCACCTTCCTGCGCCAACTTGAGCTTCTTAACCATCAATTTGCTTCGGGGTGTTGTGAGCTGCGCTCGCAATCATGTTCTTTGTCAGATCGTGGGCGTATATTCCATTGATCTGATCCCTTTTGGCATGATCTTCTAACCTTCCTTTTATCCCCGGTGACTGGTCGCACCCAAGCCCACGATGTCGGTCATTCAGAACGAAGAGTACGCGCGCACCTATCCTTTCTCCAGATGAACCTTCGCTGACATTTTGTTTCAATTAGGCTGGTCGCATATCAGCTGCGCTGTGGCTACCTTACCGAAATCGCCGATGGCGTTGGCGAGCGCCTGATTACCCTCAATGAGGGGTTCATGAACTCCTCAGCCTTCAAGGCCGTCGCATGGCAAGCGAACCCGGACCTCGTCAAACGATGCTACTCTCCTCCGATCCCTACTGCGATTGCATCCGAGTATTTCCAGCCGCAGCGCCAGGTCGGCGTGACCCTCGAAGATGAACCCGACGAGACTGGAATGTTGACCGGCGGAGGAACCGATACGCTAGGGCCCGGTCTGGCGACGAGGAGGAGACGGCGTCGCGAGACTCTGGAGGATGACGACAGTAGCGATCTTAGTGATGAGAGCGATGATGATGATCCTGGAACCAGAGCGGCGCAGCAGATCAAGTTCGCAAAGATGCCCGTCAGGTCGAGGGCCGGCTCCAGCCCGATTCAATCGTCCCATATCAAGCAGTCCCCAGCCATGTCTCCCCGGGCAGCTCCAGGGGCACGGAGAGGCTCGCAGTCAGCATTGGAGATTGTTAAGGAGAGAGCGAGAAGAGACACAGTCACGAGCAGCGAGGTCTCCTCCGAGAACGAGTTCGATGCGTCTGGTTTCCATCGGCAGAGAGAGGCTGCGAGAGCTGCGGCCAAGTCGGTTAAGCTCCAGGCTAGGATCATGGAGGAACCGAGCTTGGGGATCAAGCGGGCCGGCACTGACTTGCTGCCGGAGGAGGAAGACGACTCGGATGGGTCAGATATGTCTGGAGCTTACGTCGAGAGTATCGACTCGGCCTCGATCCTTGATGCGGTCGAGAACCCGGAGCCGCTACCGCACAAACAGGTGGTCGGCACGCCTCCTCGAGAATTCACACGAACTTCTACGATTCGCAAGTCACAGGCGCCGCCCCGTGTCCTGCGCCCTCTGCCACCCCCTCGCCCGATGAGCACTATCCGACCCATGAGCATGATTCAGCCAAAGAGTCTGCTGTCGGCCGCTCTGAGGGCCAGAAAGACTAAACCCAAGGTCCCGTTCGAAAACTTTGCGGCTCTTTCAGGTCAAGGAGAGAATAATCCGATCGCCGTCCGCATCTATCCGGCATTTTCTGACAATCCCGGCAAGCCGTTTGAAGTTCTCATCCGACGTCAGGTACACCACGGCGAAGGTGGTGACCGATCTGTCACAGTGGCCGATCTTATTGGGCTCGCATTGTGGAGATACAACGAAGAGAAGCGAGAGCCGCCTATCGCCGCCGATAAAACCAACATCAACTGGTTCACGTTGAGAATGGTGGAAGAGGATGGCGAGGTCGACGACGACTTCCCAGCCTTTGAGCGCACCAAGGCCTTGACGTCTTTCACTACGGCGAACAATCGTGCAGCGGGGCGCATGCGCGCCAATTCTAAGACCCACGACAACTTTGGTCTGGTCATGGCCTCGCAGTCCGAATTCGGCGAGAACCAGAGCATCACGCCCCAGGCTGAAGAAGAAGAGGCCGCAGAGGAAACGGTAGACGAAGACACAACCCCGCGCAACACGCCGCAGCCCAACGCTCATCAGTTCCTGCCCGTCGCGACAGAGCCTCGCCCGAACCCCGTCACGAATACTACCTATCGTCAACAGCATAGTATGTTCGCCGACGCACCTCAGGCGCCAGCCGCCGCGCCCAACACCAGCAGGGGCCAGCAGAAGCTTCTGCGCGTGCACCTCCACTCGACGGATGTGGCACCCGGCCAGTTGGTAACGCTGGATACGACCACGGAAACCTACATGGCCGAGGTTCTGGACATGGTATGTCGTAAGAGACAGCTTGACAAGGCCAATCACGTCCTGAAAATGCCCGGGGGCGGCCCCGTCATCTTGCTTGATACCAAGGTCCAAGCCATCGGTAGCCTGTCCGATCTGGAGCTGCATCGTCGCCGCTTCGCTACCGACGGCCCGCTCGCAATGACGGGTTCGCCAGGCAGCTCCTCGCCAAAGCTTCTCCCCTTCGTCGATGGCCAGCCGGGACGCAAGGCGAAGAAGACGCACATTATGGGTAGCCACCCGCTCGCTCAGGAGGCGATCAAGCAGGCGGAACTCACGAGCGCGTACCACAAGTCCTGGGTCGTTTGGCGCTTGCGCACCGTGCGGATGATAACACAATCCGAAAAACGGTTCGAGATTGACGGCGAGTATGTGCACATCAAGCCGACTACGAGAGATTCAAAGACCACGACGGCACACATTTCTCAGGTCATCGGATGCAAGGTGTCTAGCAAACATCCAAACCAATTCAAGGTGAGCTCATTCTACAAATTGCTGAGCAGGATCGCACACCGAGGGCATAAGCTGACTTTGCTGCGTGCTGCAGGTTCTCATCTACCGCGACACGGAAAGTAAGCGCTACGATTTTGAAGCTAAATCAGTCGAAGAAGCGCATGAGATCGTCGACGAGCTGAGGAAGGGTGTATCTCAAGTTATGGGCTAATGATTGCCCAACGAGCCCGCGTGAACAAACATGGTTTGACATTGAAGAAGCGCATCATGTATGCGCTGTTCTTGGCCCCGCCACAATACGAAAGGTCCACGCCACGCATTCACCGCCACATCCGAGCACCGGCACTCGACTCAGTGACGTTCTGGTGTTGAGCGGGAGTCGCGGTCAACAAACGAGAGCTTACAGGTTCCACCACAATGCTGACATGGCCCGGGATTCGGTTGGTCGGGACAGAATCCGCCCCCGAGAAGGCCCCCGGCTTTGGGGGGAGGGATTACGCGTCACCGCAATTGCTTCGCTGCTTATTTTGGGAAAGTGGGCTACGGCTGCAATGACGAGAGGCGCAAGAATTATGTAATGTACCAAGTGGAAGCACCGATAAACTGGGTCGGCCAGGTTCTCGCCGAGTGGCAGAGCAGGACCAGGCAAACAAGGAAAACAGGCACGAGGAAGCTCATTGGCACAGCACACTCACCACCACAAACAACTCGGGTGGAGGGATTGCTGTGTGGGGTACATGTCCAATTAAGGTTCGCATCCTGGCTCCTGCGTCATGCAGATCAATGCGATTGGAGCCGCGGGCCGGGATGCTTGGCGCCGCGGTTGCGCTCCCTGCTGAGGTCGGGCTGGGCGAGGCTGGGCAGTCTCGGTTGGGAGGGGATGAATCGATGGCACGATGGATGAAGGGGATGAGGCGATGGGAGAGAAGAAATGGGGATTGTCGCTCATGAGCTGACTTTCCTCGCCTGTCCATGTCCCCCGCCTTAGTACCCCCCGGCCTAGCGTCACCAGGTAGCAGACAGACAGAGAAGTGGAAAATGGCAATTCACATTGAACAAACACGATGGATGAGAGCTGCGTGCCAAGGGCTTACTCTGTGCAGCAGGACTCGCAGATCGCTTCTTGGGGCTCGTCTTGAAGGGTGGTGTCTGTTTGCATACCGTGCTACAGAAGTAAATTGAATCCGGAGATGCTGCTGCTGCTGCAGTGCTACGGATAAGTATACTCGGCGAGAGGCTATCCCTGGACCCAATATCATCCGAGGATGGGCAGTCCCGAGGTACTCTGTATTGTGGAACGATGTGGAACACTGATGGTTTATCCCGATGTCGCTCGCCGTTTTTCTGTTGTTTGTGTTGTGGTCATGCTCACCGACAGCTTAAGGTCTAGGCGATCACTGATCAGGGTCCCCAAAGGCCCCCAGACCCCTTTATCCCAAGTCTTCTTTGAGCGTTTTATGCAAATACCGTTTTTCCTAACGCAAACGTCCAGGCGGGTTTTCCCACTGTCTCAAGGGAGGACGTTGTCTCACATGCGGGAGGGAGGCTATGTTACGAAGACTCCGAGTCATTATTGGTTTTCCCGAAACGAAGCTAGCAGACGACGAACAGAAGCCGTGGAAAACTAGAACGAAGGGCACTGGCTACACAAATTTGCCGTGACGCGGCTGGGAATTGGAAAGGACGAAGACGAACTTGTGCCAAATCGCGAGGCTGCATGGACCTCACTTTAATCCGAACTCAAAAAGCTCTAGAGACTTTTGAAACGAACCGGTGGCACATCAAACGGGTGCACAACACCGACCTGGAGTGACGCAATTGGCGTCCGGCTCGGCCAAAGTCCCTGGCGGCTCTAAGAAAAAGCTGCATGTTGACGCGTCAGGCCAGGCTGCGCTACGTGCTGTATCACTCCCCCAAGGCTGAGCTGAAGCAGGCTGGATGTAGGGGACGGGATCCTTTGCTAACTCCGTGCGTGACAGAAGTTTGCTGACGGTGGACGGCTCCGTGACCGAGACGACGTTCAAGCCAAGCGACGATACCAAGCAGCCCCAAGAAGCTCCAGGCTTTGGTCTATCCATTCAGACTGCTTCCCCAACCACCCTCTGCTTTCTTGCAGATGTGGAAATGGGGGTTGAAATTTCCCCAGCCGATTGACCCCAACGTCGGTCCTCGTCCCCTCATTCAACCGAGAGGAGCAAGTGCTAGCGTGCACCAGGTCTTGCCTGCGAAAAGAGCATTTGAGTGTCCCAAAACAGAAGGACGAGGTTCTCTTGGTTTGGAGACTCCAACGACTTCGACCTGGGAGGGCCATCGAGGTCCAGACGGGCGGTGCCTGTCAGCGATACGTCATTTGCATGATCCTCCGCGCCGAGCGTCCGTGGCGAGCATCATGTCTAGTCTAGCGAAATGGCCGAAACACAGACGCAGGTTTTCCTTTCCAAGCTACTGCCTCTTCATTTCAAATCTCACCAAGCGAGAAACCGAGGCCTGGGAAAATTTGTTGTTGAAAAATCTTTTGGAGGATGAACAGTGATGCGTCGATGCTTTGACTGAACCCCGTCCGTCCGATGGTCTCAATAACGCGCTCCCACGCCCCCCTGCGTCCCTGCGTAAATCCGCGTGCTGCAGCCAGACAGAAGTTTGCTGGTGTTTTTGCCGCTGTTATTACCAAGAAAAACTGCACTGCCAGCTGACATATCGACCGCCATACCATGTCTTTGCCGTTTGCCTTTCGGCTCGCATGGTGTCGGTGCAACGCGACCCGTTGAATTGGGTGCAGCGATCCGGGGGGCCGGCCCAACATCATCGGGAATGTTACGTCCTCCCGCGGGCTGTGTGCGTTTGTGACTTTTTTTTTTGTCGCCTCCAACAGCCTTCCTTCAGCTCCAGCTTTATTTTCAGCTAGCTCGAAGGAATATGGGAATGGATGGTGGAAACGGAGAAGGATCGGGCCCGTTATTACCTCGCATCTCCGTTTTGCCGTTTGCTTTCTTTTCCTTTTCCCTCATTGTTGTCAGCGTTCGGTGCCTGCGGCTGGCATGTTTCACAGCACTGCCCGCAAGGGGCGGGGAGCAGCAACTTGGAGCCTCGCCATTGGCGTGCGAGACCGCATTGAATTGAAGCAGTCTGGAGGAGCTGCGTCCGTACCTATCCGAGTTGTGCGAACTAGCAAACAGAACAACAGGTGGATGGAGAGAAAGAGAGACAGCGGCAGAGACATGGCGGCCGGCAAGGCCTTGTTTCTCCAACGCCCTGACCCGCCCCGCCCAGCGTCTACAGCCAACCAGCGGCGACTCCCATCTCCACCTCCTGTCGATCGTCCACGCTTTCCACCCCCTCGCCTCCGCCGCGCAACCCTGGTCCTGGAGCAACTGCTTGCCTGTCCCAATGGTGTCATTGGGCCATGTGTCTTTTGGTTGTCTTCCTTGTTCCGTATTTCGGTACTCAAATATTGGAATCCCGTTTGTCCAAACCTCCGTAATGATGTAACGGTGTTTTCCCCCCTTCCTATGTCACCATAGTCCACCGTGACCCTGCCGTCATCGCCTCAATGCTAATGCTGCTTAGACAACCCGTCTCCATCCTATTGACTCGTTGCATTCTCCGTTTATGATGTACGCGAATCGTCCCAAGTGGATGATGTGGGATGGAAGAAGCAGAAAAAAAATTGGAATAGTCTGCAGAGACGTACCCGTGGAATGAATGGATGATGGCCGAGGTTGGGGCTACCGCGTGGCTTTGCTACCCGTGCTTATTGATTGCTATCTTTGGGAACGCAAGGCTTCCCAGCGACATCAACTTCAGGGAACAGCCGTTGATCGCGACGGAAACCCAACGCCACGATTCGTTCGATCCGAGATGGGCTACATGCGTAGCACCAAACGGGAGGCGACTTGGAGGTGCTTTGGTCCAGTTTGGCTAGCGTAGCGTGCGCCGTTCCGTTGGGGTGGAGGTCTCGGGTTTTCCACGTCGTCTCTTTCGCCTCCAACCAGCCGGCGAATCTTTTGGTGCCTTCTTTTGGTGCTCGGAACCGCACATATTGAGAGCTTTGGTTTAGAGCGAAGCGACCATTTCGTCGTCTCTCCCCAGAATGACGAGTATCGAATTCCGTCACCGACGCGGCATCGCTCACATGTCCTCCGTGCCCATGGGCAAAAGATCCAAACGGGCCATGATCCCCGTCTCAGACACGCAGGAAAAGCTGGCGGACCCCAAAGCCTGATGTGATGTCCATCTCCAGAGAGAGCAAGGCAAGGCAAGCTCTCGTCTGCTCGCTTTCCCGTGCTGGAGGACTGCATATTGTTGCCGCGGGGATGACGTGAGGATGTGGGTCTCCTCCGTCCTCCCTTCTCGCTCTTTCCGCCTCCTTCTCCATCCAAGGCAGCGCATTTCGACATGGGTCCCGCCGCACGGCACCAGGGCTGAGTTGGGGAGCTGTCGATGGCGGTGGTGGTCACCCGGGTACGTACCGTTTCCATCATTCGTCTGTCGTGTGTATCCATCCGTATTGTGCCAGTCTCGGAGTGCCACCCGCGGTCCGCTAGGTCGACGGCTGCCTCTAGACTGTTTTCCCATTCGCCTTCAAAGGGGGGCGTGTGGTTCATGGACACGCCAAGCATGTGCCTAGCATTGTGGAGGATTCAGGCGGTGGTGGTGCCTGGCCTTTCTCCTCTCTCGGCAGCAAGCAGGAGGACCTAGCCGATGGGGGTGTGTCTACGTGGGAGGACGAGAGAGACAGACACGCCTCTTGGCGTCGAACGGCCTGTCGAAAGATATATAAGACTCTTTTCCATGAGCCCCAATGTTCATCGACATCTCCTCCACTTTACCAATCAACAAAGCTGTACTCTACCCGTTCCAACACCAAACCCATCAATCTCTAATCACCAACTTTCACTTACACTCAAACACTAAAACCAACCACCATCAACATGCGTTTCTCCGCCGCTTCCGTCCTTGCCTTCGCCGCCCTGGCTGCCGTAAGTTGACCGCGCTCACTCTACCATATACCCAGACGACTAACACACCCCAGGCCCAGGCTGAGACCGTCACCGTCACCACCCCCACTCTCCCCTCCGTCCCGGGCGTCACTGAGGCCTCCTCCGTCATTGGCGGCGTCTCCAGCGCCATCCAGTCCGGCCTCTCCTCCCTCTCCGCTGCCGAGTCCTCCCTCGGCGGCCAGGTCTCTTCCGCCCTCGAGTCCATCAGCGCCGGCGCCTCCTCCCGCGCCGCCAACCTGAGCTCCCAGCTCGCCACCGCCACCGGCTCTGCTGCCGCTTCCCTCTCTTCCGCCCTCGAGTCCGCCAGCCAAGAGGCCAGCTCCGCCGTGGAGAGCGCCACTGGCTCCGGCTCTGCCCAGAGCACCACCGCCCCCGGCGCTGCCCCGGCTCAGACCGCTGCCGTCGCCATGGGTGCCCTCCTCGGTGGTGCCGCCCTCATTGCCAACCTGTAAAGGGGTGGCTTTGTTCGCGCGCGTCCTTCATTGCATGGGAATGTGATTTAGCGGAAATGATCGGCAAATCGGTGTGGTAATGGATATTACACAGCATTGTTTGGGAACCCTTTTTTAAAACTACCTCTTCGGAAGATATCATGATGTAATACCAGTACAATTTTGTACATCAAATGAAACCAACGTACATTTTGCACTTTGTTGGCCTGCATGCACTTCGGGTTATTTGTGATATATTGACAAGCACTTGGCCGCCATCGAGATTTCCGCCGGGTAAAGCTCCGCCGTGTTACGCGCCTTGGCCAATCCCAACCGCTTGGCGCCAGGAGTGAGCCCCCTCGGACGAATATTGGCAAAGGGGGCGTCTGCCACATCAAACTCGGCAAAGCTCAAGAAAAGACTACCAACCAGCTGAGATTTGCGGCGTAGCTGTCAAAGTACCTGTCCAAAGTCACTTCACGCAAGGGGATGATCTCATGTATAACCGCCGCGCATTGTCTCCTGCAGTCTTGGACCGTCTGTATTGCTTGCTGCACAAATGCAGATGAGGATCTGCCTTGGGGGTAAATGGCTGCTCCGTCGCAATAGGCGCAGTGACAGGACGACGCTTGTGATTTGTTCTGGACCACACTTCGTATTCGGAGCCATGCGCGTTGTGCTAGTTCCAATGTCGCCTTTGGTTCGGCAAACAGCACCCGCACCCCAAGGCTTCCAGCCACCTTGGCTGCACCAGCCCCCGACTGCTTCAACCAGTGTTTCACAGTACGAAAAGCAAAGGTGGAACATACGACTTGCGCTTGATGATAATTGAGAAGTAATCGACACAAGGAAAGTCCATGCTCGTTTCTATTCCCTTCTCCGTTTGATTGCGCCGAATAAAAAATACGTAGTGTGGTGGTCGGTTAGTCTCTGTTACGCCTTCGACCGGGTATCTGCCCATAACTTGTCGATAATCTGGAAAATCGCCGTAATGTCCTTCATGACGGCGCCGTCGACCTGCCCGCCGAGTCGCTGCTGCATCTTGTCCGGATGCCACCGGACACGTTCTTCTCGCAGTTTGCCGGCAAACTCCTTCTCGCCAATCTCCTCCACGGCCAGCCCATTGACGATGAATCGGCGGACTTCCTTCTCGCTAACGTCCTTCTGGCGCCCGCTCTCGACGGGCCACGGTATCGTGTCAGCGTCGCCGGTCCACTTCGCCCAGCCTTGCACGTAGTCTTCCCAAAGTGACGCCCACATCTTCTTCTGTCGTCTCTCCTCCCCGCGACGTAGACTACGCTCCATATCCTCCTGCAGCTTCCTATTCCTCTTCTCATCCTCTGACTTGCGCTTGCGCGCCTCTTCTCTTCGCGCCCGTTCTTCCAGCAGTCCTTGATGCGTCTTCTCCCACATCTTTTGCCTGACGTGTGTCGCGTACTCCTCATCCGTCATGCGCTCTAGTTCACCTTGTGGGCCGGTCCGCTCGTTGGAGTAGACGTGTATTGGCTGACCGTAGACTCCCTGCCAGTACGCCGCACCTTCGTCGTCCGCCATGGCATCAAAGAGCGATTCACGGAATGCTGCATCTGGATCGAGCGCCTGCGGTTCGTAGGGGTTCGGGGGTGTGGGCGATCGTGATCGTCTGCGGTGCCTCCGAGAGTGATGGTGGCGGCGATGCGAGCGGGAGTCATCATCGTCGCGGTCGCGGTCGCGATGGCGGTGTGACCTTGATTTGTGCTTGGACTTCAGGCGGATGCGCGACGATCTCGGCTGAAGATGATCGTCATCTTTGCCCGCCTCGTCCTCCACTTCTGCCTCCTCAGGTGTGCTTTGTTTCGTGCGCTTCGGTGCAGGCTCGTGGCCCTCGTCCGGGTTTATCGAAGAGAGGATGTGCCGCCGGCGCGGCGAAGTCGGCGGGCTTGTCATCGCGAGCGTCCCATCAGCGCGTCTGGACGTGTGTCGTCGAAATTTGCGATGAGGATGGGGCACAAGGTTTCGCGGTTGACAGGAACAAAGTTGGAGGGGTCGTCCTGGGAGTGACTTGACGTCGTAGGTTTTGGCTTATCTTATCGCGCGGCGTTGATGGTCTTCCTTGTTGCGGGGCTTGGCAGTTGCCGTCCCTGAATCATTCCTGCGAGATAAGGTTAAGTCCGCCTCCCCGCCAGCAACGGTCTGGTACATTCCTCATGTACTTATCTTGAGGCTCAATGGAGTGCAACGTCGATTGGTAAGGGACCCGAACCGTCGATTGCGGTTGCATATCGCGCCAAGATGCTTCAGGTATCCCCTTATCTGTCGCTCACGATATCGATTCTTGAAGTCTTTTCATGACTTCGCGCATCACACACATGGTCGCATCAGGGTCACTTGCGGCTCAACAACGAAATCGGTCTCTTTTGCTATGTGTGCCGTTATTGGCTTTACTATCGTAGTCGTCATTGCCATCCAGCCCGTCGTGACCGACTTTCGTCATAAGCTTGTACCCCCGTCAGACTTGGACTTCGTAAATCAACATTGAACTTGTATGAATTCATGCTGAAATATGTCTAGAATTTGTTTTGAGCCGCCTCTAATTACAAGTTTAGAATACATGGCCCTCCTCCTACTTTTGACTATTTCTTGCTTTTCTCTCCTCGAAGAGATCGTTGGTCAGTTCGAAATGATCAATCATCTCTGGCAGTCGATACTGCAACTCGTCGTATGCCAGCTCAATCATGTACTCGCCTATGTCTCGAGGTATCCAAGGAGGCAGAGAACATGGAACCCAGATACGGTGATCTTCGGAGTGCGTGACCCAAGAGCCTGACCTCCTGCCGTAATACCAGAGGAGTCTATCGCAAGCTGTACAACACCGCCCAGTTGCCGCTAGATTAGTGATGTTCTCCTGGAACAGATCAAGCACTTCTTTGTGGGGAAAGACAACATTCTCTTGCCCGTCTGTAAACTTGGCGCCTAGCCTGCGCCTCGCACTGGCTAGCATGTGGAAACTAATCGCGTAGGCCTCGGGATGGGTTTCCCCGCTGAAGTGCCTTGTTTCCACATCGACATCTTCTCTTTGAGGCTCAGATTCTCTACGCTCCATGTTAATCAGCCCCCAGATTCGACTCTGGTCCTCCTCAGTGAATGGCTGGAAACACTTGTTTGTAAGGGTGAGGAACAGGTCTTTCAATGGCAGCTTTTCATGATCCTCGTCGTTGGCGGAGACTTCGACGAGCTGAAAACTTGTTGTCTTTGCGTTTATTGGTGGGGGTCTGCCAGTTACGTTGGTTCTTGGTAAGTCTGGTCCAAGTTTAGACATGCCATTAGAATGGGCAGTGATGTTGACAAGGTATATCATCGCAGCCGTCGACCAACCTAGACGAGCCCAATCATCAAGAGCAGACAAGTCAAACGCTTCATGCCCGAGACGGACGTCATCGTAGTAGGGTCCCATGCCGGCTTCCCATAGAATATGTTCTCCGAGAGAGGGAGAATAGTTGCAAACATTGACGTCTGGATACAGAGGCGACGCTGTGAAGCTGTCGCTGTACTTGTCGCAGAACTCGTATTCGAGCCAGTCCATATGGCAGCGTAACTGTTTCCGGAGTTCTGATACAAGGATGCCGAGAATTGATGCCCAGCGATCATATTCTTGTGCCAGTTCGCACAATTCGCGGACCCGTCGTTGTTGTAATTCGGACCTGAGCTTTTGCGTCGCTAATTTGGTTGTGTGGTATGCTCTTTTGGCAGCGATGAGGTGATCCAGTTTCTCTGCTGTGACCCTAACAAGTGAGCGAACAATGTGATGAAAGGCTTCCCTGTCCTTAGTTTTGTGATACCAGTCGGATTCTGTTGGGTGATAGTCCTCCAAACCCTTCTGGCATCCATGATCTCGAAGGAACTGCAGTATTTGACCCAGTCGTGCTAACGAGTGTTCTGATAGGGGCTGAAGCCATATTGAAGGGCCGATGCCTTGGTGGAGAGAAGTACAGCTGGAGATGTCGTATGTTAAGATGTCGTAAAAGTTGCGTCGGTCGCCATTCATGACTTCTTTAAGCCTTCGTATCTCGTCTGCCTCTGTCGGTTTGCTTGGTCTCACCTGATCCCGCGTGGTCTCGTTCTCTGTCGCCGCGGTACCCACGGTAGTTGCCAGAGAGCCAGACGGGTTTCTCGAGCCCCGAAAGAAGCGCGCATAGATTTTATCGCATCCGGCGATGATACAGTACGTCCGAAAATGGGTAGCGGCTTCGTGTAACGTGTCGACCGTGTCAGCATCTCGCATTCCCCTGAGAAGCCCGGCGACAGTACTGGCATGTTTCAGAAAGCTATGCTTTACCTGAAAATGTAGTTCTTCGTTTTCTGCTGCATCCGGCTCCTCGATGCTGTTGAGGTAGTGACCGATCAACCCTTCAGGAGTCGCGTCTTGATCGAGATCGGTGACTGTACACCTCACCTGTCCAATAACGTCTGCAGAGGTATTTTTTGCTGATAAAGCTATCTGGTAGCTCTCTCCAGGTTGTACGTTGGCCACTATTACACCCTTGGGCGAGTTACTGTCTATGTCAACCAGAGTGGCAACAGCGAATTCATCCTTTCGAGCGACGACATTTGTAAAGCTAGAGGAGTAGAGATAGCCGCGGCCATTGACTGAGCCATCGGTGGCCGAAAAGATTCGAGGAGGTCCTACGGGGTCTTCGGACTCATCAGAGGGGTACTCGGGCTTGAAAACGAAGTTTGTCAGCGAAAGAAGCTCTGTCATGGAGCGGAACCTCAAGTGTCCGTCTCGCGAAAGCAACTCCATGTTGTAGAATGTTGGTTGATGAACATTGCTCCAGATGCTTTTTGGGGAAGTCAGGGTTTCGTAGATAGAGTAAATAGAAAGAATAAAAGCAAATTCCGATTTGTGACGAAGGAGATATTTTAAACGTCCGAAACGGTTCAACGGAGAAAGCCACCACTCGATCCCTTGTGGCCGCCGGCGTCAAACCAGTGAAAGTCCGGAATGAGAAGAGAAATCAGCTTGGAGATCGGTGCCGCGTAGGAGCATCTGGACGCAGCTTGGATTATTGTTTGGCGCTCTAAAGTCTCACACAGGCGCGAGGAAGATGTATACAACATACGAGGGCAGGTATGTGCAGAATACAAGAAGACCAGAGCAACACTATCAATATGACGCAGATGGAACAAATAAGAATTCCCTCGGCATAGACTCAACAGCTGTGACGAGCGTAGCAACAGTAAGCGATCCACTTGATGGTATATTTATCCTCAATAAAGTGTCTTCATTGACGGCGGAGGTAAAGACGGAGGCTACACGTACAAGGAGTGCGCACCTTCCTTCGCAACCCTCCTTGTGCGAAAGGATGAGGTTGTCACCGTGATGCTGCAAGGGCCCAAGAGACCTGGTGGAGACGACCCTGCATCGGGCCATGCCGTCCTCTCGATCGCCGTGCGGAGTGCAGGCAAGGACGAGCCTTCACCACAAGCGCTTCCCAAGCAGGCAGTCCGTCGACTTTTGCAGTCGGACGTCATTCCTGACGACGTTTCGGTGGCACATTACTATGCTACTAACATGGCGAACATCACCGCCGGCAAGCGTGTTGGGAATGTCATCGATATCTTGAGAAATTTGCGGACTGCAAGAACAATTCAACACTATGCTCAGGCCCTGGCAGCATTCCGCCGGTACGTATCCATCTCATGCTGCGAGAAGATGGAAGCGGGGACTTACCAACGAGGGGAGAATAAACGCAATTTCTTCACGGCTATCACGTCCGCCACGATCACGAAGTGTAAGGAATATTGAGAATGGGACGCAGGAGGAGCCCCGCCTTTTTCCGCAGAGCAACTCAAGATCATGAGAGTAGTGGTCGCCTTTCTCCGATCCCAAGGAAAGGGCCCAGGTCTTGAGGTTTATCCGTACGAGAGCAACCCTTGGTACGACTTGGACGGCAGGAAAGCGTTCCATTCTGTCCTCAGTCGGCTCGTAAAAGGTTACTGCAATGCGGTCAGTGGATTAGTTAAGAGAAGATCTGATCGTGAGAGATGGATGAACGACCGCACATATTTCGACGACAGCGCAGATCAGCTCGTCGCCTGGGCTTACCATCTTTCGTTGCTGCACCACATGTTCGAGCACAGGATTTACCAACACCTCCACTTACTTTCTCGCACGTACAAGCTCAAATCCGCCTTGTGTGTTGAGTTGGAGTCGCCGCTATACCACGAGTACTACAAGAAGGCTACCGTCAGCGACAACGCCGACGGCCGAGGGAAGCACCGGTATTATTCGGATACCAACCCAGAGAGAGAAATGTTACGTCATCTTGACACGGTTTCAGAGTGGGATTGGGCAGATGTCGGCAAGCAATACATTAAAAACTCTTGCTGCATGTCCGCGCCATGATGGATTTCGTACGTAGGGATATCGATCTCAAGGCGAGGCCCGGGCAGGAAATCGTGTCAGAGATAGTGTGGAAGACAAAGGTTCGTTTCTTTGAGGGTACGATAGACGACGGGGACCGCGAGATGCTCCCCATCAGCGAGCTACTGGGCACCTTGAAGACACCAGAGGGCCGGACGAGATCAACGAAAATGCAACAACATATCATGAGCTGGATCAATAGTCAACGCACGGCGGTTCGCGAAGGCTCTGAGTATGACTTCGACGCCACGCACCATGACGGCGCTGTTCACCACGAAGCTACGATGCTCGGCATCCAGCAGTTGCCCCAAATGAAACGGCCCCTGAAGTTGGTGGTTACTACTGAGCGGTGTTGCCCTACCTGCGCTTACCTCTTCGAATTCTGCAAGAACAACGCTGATCGAGGATTTCTGGGTGCCGAGGTCAGTCCTGACTGGAGCGCGTGCTCCTTACCGTCGTGGATACCGAAAAAAGCTGGAAGATACGTTATGGAGCGGGCGGAAGACGTCCTTCAGCATCGATTGGAGACGATGGTGGCAAGATACAGAGAAGCTGAAAACTCAAGACCTGAGGGCATAGACGACATACATGAAGACGCAAGATACCTAACCAACCTTACATATCATTCAATGAACAACTTGATCTTACATTACGGGTTAAGAAGGATGATCCGCAAGACCTGCTTGCTTTTCAACACAACTAAAACTGGATCATGCGTCGCGAATCAAGGATCCGGCCCACGTTCTGCTGGACAGCTTCAAAGCGCATGAACCCGCAGCTTTCACTTTCTAGATGATTCATGGTAGCGGCCAAGGTAGTGAACTCTCTTCGACAGTGCCTGTTGGGACAATGATAGAGCGATTGTTGGTGAACCGGCGAGTGTAGGTGTTGGTTGAGCGAGTTCAGCTTTCCATATAAGTTGCCGCACATGTAACACTGATACGCATCAAGTCTGTAGTTGTACGAGTTCTCGGTTGCCGAGTATGTGGGAGAGCCGTGAAACTCGAGCAACTTCTTAGAGATGATTCCGTTCGGGTCCCGGCGTCTGACGGCGAGATAGAGAGCATCGCGGTCGAGAGGCGCGTTGGGACAGCCTCCTCTTTCAAGGTGGTGAACCAAGCCGGTTGCGGAAGCTCGCTCGACTCCGCAAAAGGGGCAGGAAATGCCCGATGCGCGGTGGACACTAGAATTTAAGTGCTGACTTGTGTCAGACAATGGCTGCATCAAACGATTAGGAGAGATATCTAGAGACCTGTTGAATAGCGTTCCAGGACGTGAAGTCTCTGTCACAAGGACCGCAATGTAAATGGTCTTCGGCTTCGTGCTCTTCCTTGTCCTCGCTGTCGGCGAAATACTCATCGCAAGAATAACATTCAAATCTAGGTGGGGAATGGCCGGTAGCATCGCAATGCTGATCCCTAGCTTGCCATCCAGCCCAGAATTGGCGATCACAAGTACCGCAGATGAAAGGCATGATTTCAACGTTCAATTTGCGGGCCTCTTTGCATGCAAAGGTGAGTGGATGAAAGGTGAAGCTTGTAATCGCATTCACGTCACACGCGGCGGGGTTTATCTGTTGATGAACGTGTCACAAACCTTAGGTTAGGACCAGGTCAGGGCTCTGACAGCTATCGGATCAGCAGAAGAAGCAATTCGCTGGAGTTGCATTGACGGAAACAGATCAAACAACCAGCCAGTCAGGTCTTAGAGTGACTAGGGGACCAGTCCGGCTTAAGCTTCAATTGAGCTTTCTTCTGAAGTTGTGCTGGCACTCTCACCTAGCTCAGACTGTGGCAGTTACTGCGTAGGTAAGCAATGCAACGTCCTCTGCTTCCTGTTTGTTGTATGTCGTCGCATCTCCACGAAGGCATGGTGGCTTGTTCTAGCAGTATCCGAGCGTCTTATCCTCCGCGTCCTCACAATACGTCGTCTTCGTAAACGCGGATAGGTTTGAAGGAAGGAATTGGGGATCCGAGTTGCCGACGCGACCTCCCGCTGCTGATGGATGCGCGCGACTCAGCTACCCACCTCGCAGTACGGTGTAAGTACGGCGTAAGTGCGGCGGACTGGCTGCTGACTGGACAGGCTCCTGGGGTTGTGCATGCGTCGGAGGTACCGGATATGTATCGCGAAAAGCCGAATGCGGGACAGGCTTCAATGCAGGTCGTCATAGCTCCCCACTTTTCCGAGAGCTAAACTGCGGTGAGCCCTGTGACTGGCACCGCTGGATGTCGCTGTGGTCCTCCGAACCCCAGCGAACAGTGGGAAAGCTGACAAACCACGCAGCATCACTCACAGCGACCCTCGCATTTTGGAACTGAACCTGGACCGGCCTCTGCTGCACCGCAAGTGAAGTGGACCTCCACCACACCTTTCTTCCAGTGTCGCCTCTGCTCTGCTGCACCGTGACCCTCTCGACACTCGCGGCACGTCGCATCCCGATACCGTCTCGACTCGACTCGGTCGTCCCTCCAAAAACTTTTTTCCCTTTCCCTTTCGCTCCCACCGCCACGACAGAGTCGACCGTGTCGTTTCTTGTTTTGTTTTCCCCTTCGCCACGTGTACATACATACGAGCGAAAACAATTGGAAACCGCCTGCGATAAACGAGAAACCCCACGCGATCGAAACATCCCCAGCGCTTCGCTCTGTCCACGATACCTTAGCATGCGTTGACAGGCGGGCCCGGGGAACCGCAGAGCATTCAACATGGACTATTCCGACTACTCGTCGCAGCGCGTGCTGCACACCGGATCGTTCACCGGATTCCATCGCATGGGATCACTCGGCAGCCACTATCTCTCCGCGACCGAGCATATCAAACAGCCGCTATGCGGCAACGAGGAGGGCTGGGGACCATTGAGCCCGATCCGATACGACTTCACACCCTGCTTCATTGATGTTTGGATAGCCTCTGTCGCTACGTTCGGTGTTGTCTTTGGACTCCTCGCTATCATCTGGCTCGTCCAGCGCAAGAGACCTTCCGACGCCCCCAAAGACTGGCACTTCTGGGCAAAGCAGGTAAGTCTTACTTGCGCCGAATCCCCCCGCTCCCCCCGGCTGACATGTCGCCTCTGCAGACGCTACTTGGATTCATTATCGCCGACGTCATTGTACAACTCGTAATTCAAATAATTAGCTATCCCGGAGTCTGGTACGGCGATTTTAGGTTCTGGACTACCGTCGGCACCATCCTCTCCCTCGGTGTAATCTTCTCCATCCAATGGCTCGAACACGCCCGACTGCGCAACGCGAACGGCGTCGTTCTGTTCTACTGGTTGTTTCTTCTGATCGCATACGCTGTAAAGCTCCGATCCCTCATCTCCCAGCAGCTGTACACCAAGAACGAGGCCTACTTCATCACTTACACAATCGGCTTCGCACTGTCCATCGTGGAGTTCGGGCTCGAGTGGCTTTGGCCCAGGAAAGTCAGCGCATACGAGGCTCTGATTGACGAGGAGGAGTGCCCTATCGAATACGCGACTGTATTTTCTCTCCTGACCTTTTCGTGGATGACCCCTTTGATGCGCTACGGCTACAAGCAGTACTTGACTGAGGACGATCTTTGGGGCCTTGCCAAGAAGGACCAGACGAAGAACACTGGAGACGCATTTCAAGATGCTTGGGAGATTGAGCTCAAGAAGAAGAACCCTTCGCTTTGGATTGCCATGTTCCGAGCTTACGGCGGCCCGTATGCGGTGGCCGCGCTCTTCAAAATCGTCAATGATGTCACCCAGTATCTCCAGCCGCAACTGCTCAAGTACCTCATCGCTTTCGTCACTTCGTACAGCTCCGACAGCGACGCTGAAGAGGAGCCGGTCATCCGGGGTGCTGCGCTTGCGTTGGCCATGTTCGCATGCGCCGTGCTCCAGACTGCCATGATTGTAAGTTGCTTTCCGAACATTTAGAAGACCCGCTTACTAACACGATGCAGCACCAATACTTCCAACTCGCCTTCGTCACCGGCATGCGTATCAAGGGCGGCCTTGCGTCTGCCATCTACAAGAAGTCCATGAAACTGTCCAACGAGGGCCGGTCATCTAAGACAACTGGTGACATTGTGAACTACATGGCTGTTGATGCGCAGCGTCTGCAGGACCTGACCCAGTTCGCCCAACAGGTCTGGTCTGCACCTTTCCAGATCATCATCTGCATGGTTTCCCTGTATCAATTGGTTGGCTGGTCCATGCTTGCTGGTATTGGTGTCATGATCATTATGATGCCTGCCCATGGCTTTATTGCGAGAATCATGAGAAACTTGCAGAAGGAGCAGATGAAGAACAAGGACAAGCGAAGCCGTCTCATTAATGAGATCATCACCAACATGAAGAGCATCAAGCTCTATGCCTGGGGTGCTGCTTTCATGAACAAGTTGAACTTTGTGCGAAATGACCTCGAGTTGAAGAACCTGCGCAAGATTGGCGCCACTCAAGCTTTCGCCAACTTTACCTGGAGCACCGCTCCTTTCTTCGTGTCTTGCTCTACCTTTACCGTGTTCGTGTTGACGCAAGATAAGCCCTTGACGACTGAAATCGTCTTCCCAGCCCTGAGTAAGTCCTCATCATCGCCTCTAAAGATTAAGCATTGACCGAGTGTAGCTCTCTTCAACCTCCTCACTTTCCCTCTGGCTGTTCTTCCTATGGTCATCACCTCCATCGTCGAGGCCAGCGTTGCGGTCGGTCGTCTGACTGACTTCCTTATGGCTGAGGAGATCCAGCCTGACGCCATTACCATCAAACCCGCCCCTGAGGAGATGGGAGAGGAGACCGTCATGATCCGAGACGGAAACTTCTCCTGGAACCGTCATGAGGATAGGGAGGTCCTCAGGGACATTGACTTCACCGCCTACAAGGGCGAGTTGTCTTGCATTGTTGGCCGAGTCGGCGCTGGCAAGTCTTCCTTCCTTCAGAGCATTCTGGGTGATCTTTGGAAGGTGAAGGGTGACGTCCAGGTTCATGGAACTGTAGCGTACGCTTCTCAGAGTGCTTGGATCTTGAACGCCACGGTGAAGGAGAACATTGTTTTCGGTTACCGATATGATTCCGAATTCTACGAAAAGACCGTCAAGGCCTGCGCTCTGCTCGATGACTTTAACCAGCTTCCCGACGGCGACGAGACTGTCGTCGGTGAAAGAGGTATCTCTTTGAGTGGCGGTCAGAAGGCTCGTGTTGCTTTGGCTAGAGCAGTTTATGCTCGAGCTGACATCTATCTCTTCGACGACGTCCTGTCTGCCGTGGATTCGCATGTCGGTCGCCACATCATCGAGAATGTCCTAGGCCCCAGAGGTCTGTTGAACACCAAGACTCGTATCCTCGCAACCAACGCCATCGCAGTCCTTCCCGAGGCCAGCTACATCACCCTGCTCCGGGACGGTGAAATCGCCGAGCGAGGAACCTACAAGCAGCTTGTGGCTATGAAGGGCATGATTAACGAACTCATGAAGACCGCCGGACAAGACTCAGGATCATCTTCTTCGGCCAGCTCGAGCGGCTCCAGCAGCGAGACCTCCACGGTCATCGAAGCCGAGGGCAGCAGCCAAGAGAAGGCAGAGATGGAGGAAGCCCAGGAGCAGTTGCCTGAGATGGAGCCTATTAAGACTGGCGCTGCCATGCAGCATAAGAAGCGGTCTTCGAGCATGGCAACTCTTCGCCGTGCTAGCACCGCCAGCTTCAGAGGCCCTCGTGGCAAACTCACTGACGAGGAAGTCTCCGGCAGCAAGACCAAGCAGGTCAAGGAACATTCTGAGCAAGGCAAGGTCAAGTGGGATGTCTACCTGGAGTACGCCAGAAACAGCAACGTCATTGCTGTCATCATCTACCTCGTGACTCTCGTTGCCTCCCAGTCGGCCAACATTGGTGCTTCTGCTTGGCTCAAGACCTGGTCTGAGCACAACGCCAAGTATGGCGGCAACCCAGAAGTTGGCAAGTATATTGGCATCTACTTCGCGTTTGGTATCGGATCCTCTCTCTTGACCGTCTGCCAAACACTCATCTTGTGGATTTTCTGCTCTATCGAGGCGTCGCGAAAGTTGCATGAAGCCATGGCCAACGCCATCTTCAGGTCCCCCATGTCCTTCTTTGATGTCACGCCTACGGGCCGCATTCTGAACAGATTCTCCAGGTTGGTATCCCCACTCCTCAATATGCTCAAAACAGAAACTAACTTGCATCCAGTGATATCTACAGGGTTGATGAGGTCCTCGCCAGGACATTCAACATGCTGTTCGTGAACGTTGCTCGCTCCGGCTTCACTCTGGGTGTGATCGCCATTGCCACTCCCGCTTTCACTGCTATGATTATCCCTATCGGCCTCATGTATTACTGGATCCAGCGATACTACCTTCGCGCTTCCCGAGAGCTCAAGCGACTTGACAGCGTTACCAAGAGTCCGATCTACGCTCACTTCCAGGAGTCTCTCGGAGGTATCTCGACCATCCGAGCCTACCGACAGCAGCAGAGATTCGAGCTCGAGAACG